CGCCATCCCGGGGGACCAGGGGGCGTTGTGTGCCAGTGGAGACGTCACAGTAGAGTGGGTCGCCCGCATTCGGCAGGGGAATAGGCTCCACAACCAGAGGGGATGATGAGGAGGACTGGAGTGCCCGGATCTGCGGGTCGGTCGCTTGTGACTTGGCCATTGCGGCATAATCAACGACCGGTGGCGTGCCGGATACCAAAGAGTTGGTCTCAATGCGTGAGAGCGTGTCAGCCACCACGTTGTCCGACCCGTGTATGTGGCGGATGGTGGAGGTGAATTGGGAAATGTAGTCCAGCTGACGCGCCTGACGAGGAGAATGTCGATCGGAGCGAGTATTGAGTGCGTACGTCAGAGGCTTGTGGTCGGTAAGCACATGAAAGTGTCGGCCTTCTAGCAGGTGGCGGAAATGTCGGATCGCGAGGTACACAGCTAGCAGTTCCCTATCAAAGGTACTGTAACGTGTCTCTGCCGGTGTCATCTTCTTGGAAAAGAAGGAAATGGGATGCCACATGCCGTCGACGTACTGTTGAAAGACTGCTCCCACAGCGGTGTCGGATGCGTCAGTCATGAGACATGTGGGGGCGTCGGCTGTGGGGTAGGCGAGGAGAGATGCATTCGCTAAGGCCTCCTTCGTAGCGGTGAAGGCGGCTAGGGCTGTGGCCGTCCAGAGCAGTGTCTGGGACTTCGGTGTCGCTGAGGTAAGAAGAGCATGTAGGGGTCGCATCAGATCAGCACAGCGGGGAAGAAAACGATGGTAAAAAATTACCAGGCCGACGAACTGGCGCAATTGGCGTTGCGATTGGGGCAGTGGAAAATCTCGTACGACTCTCACTTTCTCTGGTAGGGGAGTGATGCCGCGTTGCTCGATGTGGTGTCCGAGAAAATCCAGTTTGACGACCCCGAAGAGGCACTTGTTGGGGTTGATGATGACGCCATGCGTGGCGAAACGGTCGAAAACTATTCGTAGGTGTCTGAGGTGCTCTTCGGGGGTGGCGCTGGCGATGAGGACATCATCGATGTATGCGTAAGCAAAAAGGAGGCCCCGGAGAACCTGGTCCATAAACCGCTGAAACGTTTGAGCTGCATTCCTCAGGCCAAAAGGCATCCGCACGAACTCGAATAGGCCGAATGGGGTTGTGACAGCGGTCTTGGGGACGTCTGCAGGGTCTACCTGGATTTGATGATACGCACGTGCGAGGTCCAATTTGGAGAAAATGCTGGCACCTTGCAGGGACGAGGAGAAATCGTGAATGTGGGGGACGGGGTAACGATCAGGCACCGTCACTTGGTTCAAGGCCCGGTAATCCCCACACGGCCGCCAGTCACCAGCAGTCTTTTTCGGCACCATGTGCAGCGGAGAGGACCATGCACTGGATGAAGGACGTACAATCCCCAGTTGTAGCATGTGCTCAAATTCCTGTTTTGCTGCACGAAAACGTTCAGGTGCCAGTCGTCTGGGACGGGCTGAGACTGGGGGGCCTGTAGTCTCAATGTGATGAGTGACGTCGTGCGCGATAGGTGTGTCTGGAGAGCAGACTTGCATGAGGGCTGGGAACTCCAACAGTAGACTGTAGTAGGGGTTGTTGGTGCGTTTCGGAGAGATGGACGGACTAGGAGAAGGAATGGTAGAAAGTATACCCTGGATGTGGAACTGAGTGGTTGTATCGACCAGCTGGTGATGCTTCATGTCAACCAGAAGCCCAAAGTGCCTTAGGAAATCGGCACCGAGGATGGCCTTCTGTACATCAGCAAGGATGAAAATCCAAGGCAGCGATCGTCGGAGGCCGAGGTCGAGGGTAAGAGAACGTTTGCCGTAGGTGGCGATGGGAGTGTTGTTAACGGCTGTAAGCGAGAGTTTGTCCGGTTGTCGTCGGTCGACAGAAGCAGGGGGTAGGACACTCACTTCAGACCAGAGTGAGTCCGTGGACGGGAAACTCGCTGGGGCAGGACTGTTAGGACGGCGTGGTCTGTATGAATTTCGACGACGAGATCGAGTGGTCAGAGAGGAAACGAGGTCAGCCAGGCGCGCTACCTTCTCCCTGAGTTGTTCCCTTTCGGAGGCGTCTGTGCGGTCGGGACGGTCACCAGAGAGTGCCGCAACAGTGGGCGAAGCCACCTCCATCACCTTGTCTGCCATGTCGGCGAGCTTGTGGAGGTCCGTTGAGTCGTCGGCAGAGGCGAGCACCATCCTGGCATTAGCGGGAAGACGTTGTAGAAACAGTTCGGCGGGAACGAGTGCGGCTGGCGGGTCCGGAGCAGGCGAGTCACTAGATGACATCTCGTGCTTTGCCAGTTTAGCGATCACGTCGTGGTCACCAAATGTCGTAAGTCACGACCATAAGAACTGATCATCACATACAGCACGGCATACATTTTATAGACTGCAAACACGTGGTGGAGAAACTTCTAGAAGGTTATGTAAGTGTGATAGTATCTTGCAGCTGATGATGGTCTGTCACATGTGTAACCACAACTCAGTTGAGTTCACTACAATGCAAAGTATTATCAAAACGAGACTCAGGTTCATTTATAGGCTTCATAAAGCGTGTTCCTTTAACACTCTAACTGATTGGCGAACGGGAACGAGCCAACCTTATATATTAGTTGCAATGGACCCAACCTTCCATTTATTATTCATCTGACACTGCCACCTATACCCCAATACATAATTCCAAATAAACGGATCCACCAGCCAGATTAGTATTTAATTATGGGTGCGCAACAGTTAATAAATGGAAGCGAAGCAGAGCTCAGCTGTCGCAACACACATATCACAGGAGGCAGCATCTTGCTTCAGAAACAGCTGAGGAGCGGGAAACACCTTTCTTGACACCTCGCTATGAAACAAAGGAAGCAAGGGAGTGGCGACTAGTACGAGACGTAGCTTGCAGGAGGCAGTGTCCTCGCTTCAATAATGCCCATGGGATGGGAAACAGCATTTCTTTGTGCCGCGCTCAAGACCGGCACGGCATGCAGTCCAAATAATGCACACCTGCAGCGCAGCGGAGGACAGCAAGCTATAACCGTGTCCGTGCATGCTCACCAATGGGTGTAGTTGGGTCACTCCCACTCGCCTAAAGTGCTTAGCATAAACTGTTTTTTTACTGAGGGCAATTCTAAGGCATAAGCAAAGATTAGAATCAAGCAATAGTTCGAGGCGGAGGCTCAGCGGCACTGCCAGCTCGCATCTTTCGTGTGTAGACAACAGTGGCGTGTAATTGTTAAACACCTCCTTCTTCCCTCTATGTCATCATTTACGTACTTGAATAACTCACAAAATCGTCAAATGGCATCGGTGGAGTCCATATTAGGTAGGCATTGATGGAAGTTCTGGCGCGGTTCGGGAAAATATCAACACGGCCTACGTATGTATGCAGTGGGCAAGTGGGACAATAAGCCATAATGGCAAAACAACAGCTGTCTATATAGCATCCCCATGAAATTTTCATGCCCTGTTAAAGGAAACTAACCATTGTGTAAGGGCAGATTTGAGAAAAGTTGAACATAAATCAATCCCAAAACAAAGTCATACCATCACATCTGTGTAGCTAATATGTAATTGTTAACCCACGGGCACTCACGCGGTACGAGATATATAATGCCCGAAGCCATTTTCAATACTGTCCAAGGGCGAAGGCCGAGGATGGTATTGAAAAATCGGCTGAGGGGATATCCAGTACAGCTTCAGCACCCGTGGGTTTCCGTTTTGTAGCCCAGGAACACCGATACACCATGGTAGACAGTTCTACACATTGCTAACCTCGCACACTGCTAACCGCTCCAACGCACCGATACACCATGGTAGACAGTTCTACACATTCCTAACCTCGCACACTGCTAACCGTTCCAACGCACTGATACGCCGTGGTAGGCAGTTCTAGTGAAGGTCTACACATTGCTAACCTCGCACACTGCTAACCGTTCCAACGCACCGATACGCCGTCTACACATTGCTAACCTCGCACAATGCTGACCAACGTGGACTACAGCGCTCGCCCGTGGTCCCCAGGACCGACGCTCATACTAAGCAATGGAGGTTTAGGACTACTTCATGGCATGTAGAACAGTAGATCCGCCACACAGATCATCATTTTTTGCTTTATTTCGTCGCCGTCTCCGTCAGTCGGATACTCATACCCTCCATTGGAATATCCCCAGGAAGTGGTCGGGTGCGGTCAGAGGTATGGATTATACCCGCATACGCGGCACTTTGATTTCTATGGCTTCTAAGCTACAAAACATAATAACGATATCTTATACACAGCAACACAATCTTCCTATTCACTGTTTTTAGTTAAATGCCCATTCAAAGAGACACTGGACCCACGAAAGAGAAATACACGTCACGTCTTGTTGACATATGCTCTGTGGAGTGCATTGCAGCCGTCTGTAGTTCAATGGCCTACAGTGGAACCTCCAGACAAAATAGACTTGGGAACATCACTTTTGTGATCACTATCTCCTATATTATTATGTCCTTGTGCATATGGAGCGTTGTGTATAGAATGAAACTGCCTTGTACAAAGAAGAGCATAAAGAGCCTGAAAAATGGTGGTGATGAGCACAAGCCTATTATTTGCTTGACAGATAAGTGGTGGATTCATGGTGCTGCTCACCAGGTCCAGTAAAGGTTATAGTGGTGCCTCCAGTTGTGTCTCCGATTTGCCTGGTCGCATTCCTGATGTACACACGCGTGCCGTAGAGGTCATTGGACGCTGCCAGGTAGTAGGCAGGGAAGGTTCTCACAGTTCCGTTAGGAAATGAGAATGTAAGCACACTGTAAGGGTATTTGTGAGGAAGAGAAGAATAATACAACATGAGATTAATACATAAAAGAGTGCTGTAACTATCTACACCCGGGGAAATTATTTTGAGCAGGGTAATTAAAGAATGAAAAGCACTGAAGTGCAAACCCTCGGCGCACTGTGACGTGCACGCGTAAGTAAACGCATGTGCCGTACCACTAATTGATGGGCTGGGTTTAGTTTTAGCTGTTACTCGTGGTCTCTTGCCACCTCGCGCAGAGTCTGACGCGGGCTAACTACACTATTAGATAGCATGCGAGAGGCGATACACGCCCTGCGTTGCATCTTCTGGTGCCTCCGAAGTACGCAGAGCACGCGGATCGATCCGACTGTGGTAAGCCATCCCGCCCTTGTGTATTTGCATATTGGCTTTTTCGCGCTCTAGCTTTGCAACGGAGAAAAACCGTTTGAAATTTCTGACCTTCCTTGCCTGTTAAGTAGGTCGTATCCTTTGTGAGATGAACAAACACCCGAGAAGTGAGATTGAGAGTAACAGACACACACACACACACAGACACACAGACACACAGACCCAAGTACTGTAACCCTCGCTGCACATGCGTGCCGAGGGTTAATAAAAAGCTCCTGCGTGTTTGATACTACGTGGGTTTGAAGCTCGCAAAATGTTAGCATCTGACATCTGACTGCGGAGTGTAGACAAAGCCTCTTTGTGGTAAGCCGGTACAAAGTCACCCATTAAAATAATGGAGAACAGGGACATAGAATGTTTATGTGAACTATATAACACAGTGTACAAACACAAGAAACTTTGCAGCCCAAGCATACCTAACAGTACCAATCTCACTTTTCAATGTATGTGATTGTAGTTCCTGCTGGGAAGTTGAAGTTGTAGCGCACACCTCTCTTCTCTCTTACGTTCTTCTCCACCTTCATGTTCTCGATCCTCTCACTCTCCTCTCTTGCAAGTTCCCTCAACTGCCAAAATAAATTACAACTAAGACCGATGTAGCTATGTATGTGCCTAGATTGAGACTGAGGATAAATGAAGAGTGAAATCAGCTAAAGAGTCAGCTATACTGATCACTACAGTCACCTCGTCAACTTTGTCACGAATACTTTCGAATGATTTCAAGTGTTCTGCAGCACTTCTCTTGTGGGGAACCATGGTAGTTGGAACCTGCAAATTGTTAACAACAGTAATGAATAAAGGTAGAGGCGACATACCAGTTCAGCTATGGTTACTGTTGTTTCTTTGTTTAGTAGCAACATTAGTAGTTTGTTTTAGTGAGTAACTGAAGCTTCATACAGGCCTCATTAATTTATGACTCTTTGGTTTATTACTTAGTATGGCTAAACCTTTAACGTCAGCTAATTTCTTTCTGTGCGGTTTTTAGGTGTATTTAAAAAAGAGACAAAAATACTTTACAAACGGCTAGTGTCTGTGCAATAACCTTGCAATAAACATGCTGTTCTGTCTAATGTGCAAACACCCCAATACTACAAACTCTTATTACTGTCGTCCTTGCTGCATGTGTGCAGAGGTGCATAAAGCAGTCTTGCCACATACAAGTTTTCCGCTCTAATTTAGCCTACGTACGTAGCTGCAACAGATGAATTTGTTATGGGTTAATGCTGTCCGGAATAGTCATCAACTATTATGTCCTCAAGATTAGTTTGCTTTTTTACTTGTGTTTACAGCCTCATTGCCTGTAATACGATATATAGATAGATAGGCAGACACATAATATTATACACACCTCCTCGGTGCATATGTACACAGTGTGCTTTTCATGCAAAAGAGGTGTCAAAACCTGTGGCAAAATCCGTTGACATAATCTTCAAGAATCGACACAAGCACACTGTTTCTGTCTGTGTGACTCAAATCATTCGGACACTAACTTACTTACAATATCAAATTCTTGAAAGACGGAGTCCACAAACTCAGGGTCCCACGCACGGAAGAAGTCGTAAGAGACACAGCCTGGCTGGTTGTAGGCTATCTCAGGGTTGATGCAGGTTCCACGAATGGTGAAACCTGAAGCCTTTCAAAACAGGAATTTCATAGGATAATAATTCAATACTATACTGTAATAATGCCATAAAAGGAGTTGTACAACATTCTTATATAGTACACCTTCTAGAATAATTTCTGAGTAATTCACCAGCTCATGGATCTTGCACCGACATATATACCGTTTTATTCCCAGACCAACATATGGGCCAAGGAATTGGTTCCAGCATCTTAGTGCCCACGGCACTCTATGGCCATGAGCTATGCAGGTATTATAAGATAATGTGTATTAGTTAACGTATAGGTGGCGAGGCGGTACAGGATATATTCCAAGGCCGTTGACTATACAGCCGAGGATCCTGTACCCGCCGAGATGCCTGACGTGACAATGTAAGGGCTACGTACCGCAGAACACTGACAAAGCTACTACATGGGCCACGCGTGTTTTTAAAGCCTGGCGTGTAGAGCGAAACAAGGTTGCTACCGATAAGTGTCCAGGAGAGTCCCGATCATCAAAACCTGAACCGTTGGCTCTCCCGTTTTGTTGTGGAGAGTCGACGGGAAAATGGAAAGCCTTACCCGCCTTCTTCCATTTCAAATATTCTCGCTGGGCTCTACCGCTACAGGAGTAATCGTTGTAATGCTGGTAGCTGTCCGAATTTCATGAACCGGAAGGACCCGACTTCCACGAACTTACTGGAGAACTTCAGGTTCGCTTTAAGGAGAAGGCATTGGTGCTCAAGTTAATCATGCACCTGTAGTTACAAGACAAGACATGTTGTGGGGCTCAAAGGTGATTGGTGACAACACTCCTCTTGCTTTGCAGAGAGCGGTTTTCTTCTAAGTAGGGAAAGCATTTTGTTTGAGGGAGGAGAAGAGCAACAGAAACTAAAGCGCTCTCAATTTCATTGTTTATTTGACCCTGACTGCTACAAGTATGTTGAGAATGGATCGACAAATATTACCAGTGTCAATCCAACTGAAAATATCAAGATTGTTCCAGCCAGATGCACAACCTCGGTGCCTAGTTTATAAGTATTTTGATAAGTTTCCTGCTGATACTCATGGACTTGATGTCTTTTACCTGCGCCCCAAAGGCGTCAGCGACTAATCCTAATGTTTGGTATGATTGTGCTCCTGTTGGTGCACATAAGCTCAAGACATTTTTGGAGTTCATGTGTAAAGAGGCTGGTATATCACTAACCATATATAGCTTGAGGGCTACTGGAGCTTCAGCCTGTGCTGAGAAGTTGATCAGATAACAATTTGCACTACGCCCAGCGCTAGATGTTGTGATAAGGATTTCCTGTCCAATACTGATACCAGTGCAGCCCGCAACCCGCAGCCCACACCTCACAATACAGCATATATATTCCTAGCACCTGGTTGTTTGAAGTTGGACTACAAGTGACTGTAGCATGGCCTGGTAAGACCTTCCTAACCATTCTCTCCATTGATTCTGGTCCAAAGTCCAAAGCCAAACATACTACTAGTTTTTTCGCGAGCAGTTAAATATTTCGCCCGTGTTTTCGCCTGTGTTTAGAATCACGTAAACATTACAGTGTGGCAGTGCGGGTCACAACATATAATAGTGTAGAAATATTCCGCATTAAGACGACCAGTTGGTCGCTTAAGAATTTGCTATCGAAATAGGTGAACTGCCATAGATCGGCTAATCATCATACAAAACTGTACTAATTTTTACTAATTTTTACGATTAGGGGAGAGTCACAGTAACAGGTTGACTTGATAGGATGATTATCAGTAATAAGCACCCCTTTAAACTTCTCCCTAGACTACGGCGACCGACAAGTGCCATCCGTGTTTCCATTTTCCATATTCACCTTCCGTTTTCCATCTTGTACTTCCACTTTCCAAATTCTATTTCCTACCCTTTGCGTAAGAGTCTGGCTGGTATGAATAGCTCGATAATTATACTAATGGCAAATGCAGGTAATTTTGGTGAGTGGGAGCAAGCACGATGACTGTATCTGCACGAGCCATCCTAGAACTTGGACCTTTGAATCATGAAGATGGAAAGAGATACAGCCTCTGTCAGGCACCGAAGAGTGCAGCGAATGCCTTCGAATGGAGCTCTCTGGCTGGCTAGATCGAGCATCGAGGATCGAGAGCTAAGGCAGCATGTAAATTCGCACACTGTACATTATACGGTCGTGAGCTAAGGAAATATCGAAATCATTTTACGTGATTGGACAACGTACGGTGACATAATTATTATAAATCGTGTCATTCGGACCACTAGGTTAGCTCGCTCCCACTCGCCAATTATAGCCCACGGGACCCCCGCATCTGTTAAAGGTCAACGAGGGAGATTTGTCGTATTATCCATTAGCCTCTGATAAGCCTTAGTATCATCCAATCATGTGCAATGCTTGTAGGCGAACAGGAGCGATTCGAAAAGTGGAAACGTGAATGCAAAATGGAAGGTGAATCGACACACGAAAGAACGATGGCACATGTTGGCCACCGTAGACAGACCACTTAGTATAATTTTAAGGTTTTCTTCTTCAACACGAAAGTTGGTTAGCACAAGCTGCTAAAAGGTTTTTGCAAGGCCTTGTATAAACGGTAACGTACCATGCCACTTTGATCGCTGCAAAAGTCAATTTTTGCACTTGCATCCTCCAAGATGACGCCTCCGGGACGATTCAGGTAAGAAACTTCTTTCTCTACGCCTGTACAGATAGCACCAGTGAACCCGTAACGTGTGGTGTTGACTGTCACCATGTCCCTGCAAGTTATGTCAAGTGTATACACTAAACTCTAACATACAAACAGTACATATGTTACTATAGAGGAATGGAATGCATTTTTGGCAAATGAAGCGAGCATTTTAATATTACACGCATGTTTTCACACATATTTAGAATCAAGTAGACTTTACGGTATGTGCGTCCATACCGTCAACAGAGGGAACTAAAAATCCTGCATTCAGGCATTTCAATATTACACACTTTTTTTTTCATGCGTAGCTATTTAATCACGTTATGATAAGTGCGTCCATTCCCTGTTACAGAGGGAAATAATATAATGGGAAAATACAGCATTTAGACGACTAAATGGGCTCGCTTTGCTCACTAATAAACACTTTGTGTTACAAAGCAGGAGTTGTTTCCGTCTGTCTGTCAGTTTGTCTCACATTTTCTGCTCCCTTGTGCAACAAGCCAGCAAAAAAGTGATACTAACAGGATCAGTAGCTATACTGGCTTGACCTGAATTTTGTGGCAAATCTCATAGAAATATACACACTGTGTCCAAAAGTTGTGGCATGAAACCCAAGTGAACAAGCCAATATGCTAAAGTACCACTTTTTTCACTTTTTACAACAGATGGCACATGTCCCTGCCTAAAACACTATCTACCATTAGTCCATTCACGTTGAGAATACCTGCACCAACACTGCATTGTAATTCGTGCGTACAGATTTTGAGCAGAAATTTACTGCAAAGAGTAGCTAAGCCTTTTTTCAAAAATGCCAGGGTAGCTATAGGGTAAAGTGCAGTTTGTGGCAAAATTGTATCAATCTCACCTGGGACAAAACAGCGCATAGTCTCCTTGGAAGCCCAGGTTAAGGTAATGACCAGCAGGGCACTCAAGATTGTAGACTTGAAAAAAGTTATGATTGTACCCTTGCCCTGTGAGTTAGAGTTACAGACAAAGAAAGTACAGAGTTTAGCTCACACTGAATGAATTAATTATAAGGTGGCCGCATTAGTGAAAAGTCATTGTCATTCGATTTATCTGTGTTCATGAACAATTGCCATTCAAACAGTTTTTTCCCACAAAATTACGTGCTAAAGTGCTATTGGCTTCAGCTGTCCATTTAGTATTATCCAGAAAACGGTATTCTTATATATAGCATTCCTTCCTATTTTCTTCCTTGTGCAATAATGGTAAACTGCTGTCATGTGAGTGCCAAAACAAAGTAATTACCGAAATAGGCTTTGTCCTGGGAGATGAACCATGAACGCCCCTGCAAACGGTTGTTGTCTATGGACTGGTTGCACCGGGACTCTGCAGGGGCTGTGCAGTTCACAACGCCAAGGCTTATCTCAGGAAAGTGGTAGGTCCGGGAACCACTGCATTATTGAACATAGAATCTCACTATCATTGATGTAACCTAATTAGGGGTCCTAGATAGCGTTTGTAAAATAGAAATATAACCCTCACTATAATCATTACCTTTCTCCTGCAGGAACTTCACCGATTACGCAGCCCTGAGATTCAATGAACTGACGGTTGGCTAGCGCGCAACCCGCCAGACAAAACACCACGAGCACCGCTCGTCTCCACATGATTGCAGTGCTGCTGCGTGGTTGGTAGCGCTACAAGCTCGCAATGAACCTGCTACGTCTCCGATGCAGCCGCAGAGAAGGGGAGGGAGAAGAGACGCAGTCGGAGAGTCGGGCTTGACAATGCGCGCGCCTCCTTTGCAGATAAAAGGTCATTGTTGCGATTTTGCGCTTGTGTCGTAAGGCGGTCAACATGAACCACGCCTTTTTCATCCTCTCGCTTCCGTGACTGGTTTCCTCCAACCAGAGGAGGTTGTCCTCACGCGTCATCGCTTGCATCACGTGCGCCTTAGAGACGTATGTTCGCCCACGCAACGCAGTCAACCCGCTGAGTCAGCACTTTCGCAGAACGGCACACTTGCGTTTGCAAGGCTACGAGTGTTCTCCGTGGTACACACTTGGACATATAAACAATCGAGAGATAGCAAGGTCTTGGCCCGCCTGAACACCAGCCAGAGCCACTTCCTTTCGTAGCTACGATACTTGATTACCGCATGCGCGGACAGCTTAGGAATGTTGATTGTGCGAAACTTCCTCTGGGTTTCCTCTAGCTAGCTGGTTCAATGCACATGTGCAGTTGCAAAGGCCCATGCAAAAAACGGCCGAATTTTTTTACCAATTTGCCGGTTCGTGCGTAACGTGGCAACAACGACAACGCTTTGGCTTTTCAGAAGTAGCTAGCTAGCTAGCTAACTACGCACACGGAACATCGCTGTTCTGCGCATGTGCTGTAGGTAGTTAACACACTGCAGTTGAACATAGAAAAGTGTCTATCATACACTTTGGGCTACAAGTGATTAGATAGACAAACCATTCTAGCCTTGCTGCAACACTACAGTTTTATTACTGCTTCGATCTTCTGGCTTGGTGAGTGGCACAACTCCCACCTCTCATATTATTCATGGTCGTATAGCTACATTAGAGCATTGTCACGAAACCTTATCCTGCCATTGTAAGGGGGCATCCAAGTCTTGCAATATGGCCATTTCTAGTTTTTAATTGATGTTTTCGTGAATTTTAGTAGCATGACAATGCGGCGAATGGTGCGTGGTTTGACACATCACTTACAGTGTTTACAGTCGGCAGCCAATTATTCCATTCACTGAAGTGTGGGCTCAGCTGGCAACTCTCTCCAATGGGGACATTACTCCACCGCAACCATTTTTAGCCTTTGAGAAATGAAACACCTGCCATGAAATTTCTCCGTCCACCACATCATACCATTCACACAGGAAGGATAGTACACTACGTCCTGTGCACAGAGTTATGTCTGTTGAACTGCTTCCTTGCCAACACTGCAGAGGTTGCACAATCGAACTCTGGCTATTACGCTTTGGCATCATCCTTTGTGAGTGCGTAGTAGTAGCTAGCCATTGGGACTGTGAGTGTGTGGTATAATATTTCCAGTGTAGAACAGTGTGGTGTGTAGGAGTGTAGCTAGTATAAAAACATCCATCTGTGCTCCTCACTTGACTGTATATGAGGATTGAAACTAAGCTGAAGCAGTACTGTATGGATGTGTAAGAGGTTATCTCTAAGAAGAACTGGTAAAATATACTGCTGCTTTTATCTGCAGACACAGTAGCTACACGACTTACATAGGCTATTGTGAGTCTATGTAGCTATGCCTTGGACCACCTTGGATTATGTATAAGCCCCACGTAGTAGCTTTGATATATGAGCCTAATGCATGTCGCCTGCTTTTATTTCTTGCCCCATATGGTCTTGGCAGAGTTGGAAAGATGCTTCTACCTGCGAACATGGAGTGGATACTACTACTCACATTGGTGAACTCTATATCAATGTCCACAACCACAACTGAAGAAGTCGACATTTCCTCAGTGATCACAGAGTGCTTCAACATCAACCCACGCTATCCAAACCCCAAGTAAGCTGGTTGAAGTATCCATACACCACGTACAAGTAGATAGCTATGAGCAATGTAGGTCAGTACCAGGAGAACAGTGAAGAGAACTGTTGAGTGTCAAGCCATCTTAGTGACAAAGCTACAGCCACTAAACTACAATTCGTTTATATTCTCTCAATATGCATGTAGTAGGTTATAGTAGTTTAGCAATGGATGAAGCAAATAGTTAACATGAACACGATGTAGCTAGCTAGCTATACTAGCTGAAGCATGCTGTCACCACGAACTATAGCTATTATCAAGCAATAGTGTTGCCACTAAGTTGATATTTACATGTGATCATTAGAGCAAAATCTAAACTCATCTATCCTGCATGCCTACTTGGCGATTACGTGCAAATGTGCTCCAAGCTATTTAGCTTTCGGGTCTGTTGACTAAGCTATATACTACAATACCATAATTCTATCAACCAATTGACAGCCTACACCATGCAAGATAACAATGCAGCAGGCACGTGAGAGTCTGGCAAGTGAAACTGAAGAGCTTGCAAGAGCATCCAAGGCAACACATGTCCCAACCTCAGGAATTAGCCACGTGCACTATTCGTAGACGTAGACCATAGCCAAAGTAAACAAACCTCGCCAATGACACTGCCACAGCTTCTTGGAGGATTGCCATGCCATACTGTGGTGTCATCAAAATAGACTGATCACGGCTGCCCACATGCCCAGGCAACACGTTGCACTTGATCCCTGTCAGTAGGCAAGCTGCAGACATGGCATCATGTCGCAGCTTGCCAAGTCGAAGTCATTGTTGCACAGTTGGGGCAGTTTTAAGGTGACATGTGGAAAATCAAATGAGCTGACTGTGCATAAAGAGCAGCTGGTGCAAAACATGCAATCCTTAAAGACTTGAAGATGATTAGCTACTGGAATCCAAGCGCAATGCCATCAAAAGTCATTTGCATAATTGAAGACCTTTTGCCCCCAGCAGGATAGTTTGAGCTTTAATGCAGGTATTATACAGTAGTATAGCTATGTGTTTATACCTGCATGCATCACTAGCTTATACTGGGCTGTGTTTGCCAACAAGTACTAGGGAATGTATGTGGGTCATGAAAAAATGCATGAAAGTACGCTCTTCTTCCTTCTTATCCTCCATACACTTCCTCCCTAGTCTCCTTTGACTCATGTCCAAAATTGGTAGCTATCTGACCACCAATACTCACAGTCATACTACTGTCTCACATGCAGTGAACTCTCCTGCTACCGCACTGACATTCAAGAAGTTAGTGGCTTCCAGATATGTGAAGCTTCCTTTGTCCGGACACAGCGGATTGCAGTGGCCAGTAAGAATATTTAGCTACATGTGTACGACTGTGAGGAGGTGGTATAGTGAGGAGTGGTCTAAGGCATTGTTTGCATCATGTGAACACTGAGTACTTTCCCTGGCTATATCTTGATGCCAACATTCCCTACAGTAATGCAATGACCTCTTTTCATAACACCAGTCAGTGTGCCAACTTTGGAGTGTACTTTGACTACGACAACGTATGTTTCTTCTGCATGACTAATCACGTTTACACTTTAGCTTTCATCATACTTGTTGCCCTGTATTCTCTACTTTGTTAAATGAACAGGTCAATCTGAAAACTTCACAATCATGTATCTCCACACGCCGGGAGCACTGAGAGGTCGACAGTACAACAACAGGTAACAAAAGCTCTTGGAGTGTTTTAAAGCATGATGACATCAGAGCTCTGATTGCTCTCTAGTGTAGCACATTTACAGTCCCTTTAGCCGAATATGTCCTCACGGAAATAAGTTTTCGTTGTCTGTTTCTCTCTCTCACTTTATACTTCAGTCAGTATTGAGACTGGCACACTAACCTAGTTAGCTTTTGGTACTTTACTCTGAGAGTGAGCTACTAAAAGCCACGAGCTTGTTTTCACTAATTCATTATGATGTGAATAGAACATTAGAGCTTCCTGAAGTAGGAATGCATAAAATTAGTGCTTGAGTGGCCTCTGTTTGTACAACAACTCATTCAGCTTTATTGCAGCAATGGTATCATGTTTGTTTCATGTATTTTGTATGCACTTGCCGTGAGAGGATTATTATTTAGAATATGAACCACAGATTGCTGTGTCGATGGAATATTCAGTGTCCAGTCAATCAACTTATGTATCTTGACTTTGATGAACACAACATCGAGCCAGAGGCAAACAGCTCCTTCTTTACTGTGAGTTTCGTTTTGGTAGCTTCATAGCTATTATTTCTTAGGCTTTTGTCAACACAATGACTTTGGCTCATCAATTATGCACAGTGGGTTAGCTTCAGAGCATATTACCAATACCTGATTCCCTGATCAGAGCGTCCTGGGATCAATTCTTCCCACGGGTATCATGTCCTTCAAGTTTAAGTTTTTGCTGAAGGTCTGACATTAAAATGACTCTCATGCCTGTTAGCTAAAACATGTAGCTACACATTCTGGCATAGCACAAGTGTACAACTAAGAAATCAGACATTATGTAGTTATCTCGCCCCAATTCTGACAAGAGTGTGTGGGGATCGAGGTACGAGACTTTCTTTAGGCATATTAATTATGTTTGCGTCTAGTAGATAATTATGCACAAAGCAACATGCTGCTCGGGTTTCTATACCTACATGGTGGCATGAAATGGAGCTATTCAGTGATCATTAGGGGGCTTCAATGAAGGTCAATCTCTTGTTTTCACAAACTTTGGCTCTCCGCTGTGGAGGCTTGGACAGTTTTGAATTCCATTTCATTTCAGGGCAATTATTGGCGGAGCCAGAATAATTACTGGGATGTTTGATACACAGCCAATTCTGGGAATGATCAATATACACACTTTTTATAGCTACCTATTCTCCAATACAGAACCCAGTGTGTGTTGACTACCTGAAGAGTTTCAGAGACTTTGGGACCCAGACCACGTGTGGGGCACGGGATCCCTTCGCTGACCTGGAACCCAACAGAATGCTGATGGAGTTCAGATCAAACAGACGGTTAGGAACGAAATACAGTGAAGGCGAGAACCATCACAGTAAAGTCCACTTAACCAGGCATAATGTGTCCAGAGCACCATTAGAATTAATATACTACTACTTTATACCCGGTTTTCTGCTTATTTATTATTCCCTCTGAAAAATTAAACCATGGAAATTGTACGTCCTGGAAGTCTCCCTAATCATTCATGTAACCATTTTTGTGAAACATTATTCGCTCTGTTAATCTAAGGAATTATAATAATAGTGAGCCTTCAGAGAATTTTGAATAATAAGTTTCTTAGAACTGAAGTCATATCATGTCATGGATTCGAGATTCGAGCAGTGACATTTTTTAAATGCACTAACCACCCACACACGAGAGAAATAATGAGGCTTCAGTTGTGCACGAGCTTCTGAAATTATAAATGTGTAGTGAGTCATGCAACAGTGTGTATGTAGCAACTTGTTACCTCACTCACTACCTCACTATATACCTCATGGGCTGTCCAAGTCTAAAGGCAACAGCTGCTAAATTCCACACACACTTGCAATGGACTCAGATCATGCAGAGTTTTTGAGGTATTTCTATGGACATGATATGATTTTAACCTGTGTTTGTTTGTTTTTTCGACATACACTAAACTGTGGTTGTAAGGAGTATACTGAATGGCTTCTTACACACACTAGAGTGTGGTAATACTCTGGGGGCTCATAGACTTCTTGGCACTAGTAGGTATGTAATACAAGATGACTGGATGTCTATTGATCCTGTAATCTGAGCTTACCACATACTCTCTGCTGGGAAATACTGTGGGGGTTGCAGCAGACAGTCTATAGTGTAGTTATGATAAACAGAGCTACAATGTCAAGTGGGGAAGCCATCAGAGTTATTCTCAGCGTACTAGCATAGACTATGTATGTCGCTGGCCACAGCTCATTGATATTAGCCTAGAACAAGATTCTCTAGAGGGTTTTGAGTTTTTAAGCATTGATGCCCAAGGTTAAATTATGCTAGACAAGAATGGTGGCATTGTGTGCCACGAACTTTGATTTTTTGGTTTTTGTTTAAAAATTTAAGCCCTAACCGCCTGCCTGCTAAAATACCCCTACCAAAACCATGTATGTAGCCAGATTGGCTGGTGCCTGTATTAGCAACATCCAGCCAACCAAGCCCCTAAATGCCACCCTTTGCAATCATAACTCTTGAATGCTATGAAAGATGTATAGCCTACCCATCTAAACCTAACGCACAGACATTATGAGTACGTAGTAACCTAACCAAATATCAGATGCGAAAACTATACCAAACAATCTCCTGCAGCAAACAGCAATTCTTTGGATAGACAGCAGCTTAGCTATATGTTTTGTGATGCATTTTTCTGTGCTCCATGAAGACGTAAGTGAAGTAATCTTCCTGCTCTCTACAGGCTGCGATTCCCTGGTTTCAAACTCCGTGTGGTCTGTTTCAACCCAAACCTGCAAGACTTGGAAGGATGTGAGGCCACGCCCATCGATCAGCTCTTTTCGGGAAGAAAGAAACGGAGTGCCCCCAACAGAGACACTGAGCCAGTGACTGTGGAATGGAGGGACACATCAAACGGGGAAGAGTTACTGGAGCAGTTCATTAGAGATGTTACTGGGAATGAAAAACAGGTATATAATTGGCGAGCGGGAGCGAGCCGAAAGGCGCTATATGACCGCGTCCGTCGTCTAATTGCGCATGCGCGGCTTCGTTTTCTTTTTATCCGCGCATGCGTCAGGATAACGCGCTTCTACACCCTGCTATGATGGCACGTGCAGATACAGTCATTGTGTGCTCGCTTCCGCTCGCCAAAAATGCCACGCATTCGCCTAGTAGAAATTTTAACCCTCAGTGCGCATGCGCAGCGAGTGTTAGTCTGCGTGTCTGATTTCTCCACGCGAGTTCTCGTACTACAGGCTACGAGGCGGCCCATGAGTGGCACCAAACAACGATATGAATCCAGAGATGTGGCGTGAAAACAAGCGAAAAGCCAACGGGCGGCGGTCGATGGCGCACACGCCCTCGCCGGAAGGCGCCGGAGCATGCGCATACGCCACGTGGTTGTACGGGCGAGCAGTTTTTCTTGAGTGTCTCTCGTCTGTTAGTTTGATCTTTAATTAAACAAGCTGAGCTTGGTATTATCATGATGTGGATGCGGCCATGCCTTCCCATCTATAAAACGTCTCTGGGAATAGGCTATGTCGCAAGCATTGAAACACAGAAGAGCGGGGGAAAAAGCAAATGAGAGCCTCTGAAACACCTGAGCGGTTGCTCTAACCGCTAAGCCCTCTGATGCAACTAGCCTGTGTTACGGCTCCGTCGATGACGCATCATGCATGGCCCAGCAACGCGCGTGTTTTTGCGCCGAGGGTCCGCGCACATGCGCAGCGAGGGTTACGGTACTGTCTGTCAGCGTCTATTCTCGCACTACAGGGTTCGAGGCGGGCCATGAGCGATACCAATAGGTTCAGAACTACCCGAGCCTGAAAAACAAAGAAGGCGATTTTCCTGAAACGACTGCGTTCGAGAGATAAACAAGCGAAAAAGCCAATATACCTCGACCGATCCGCTTGCTCTTTCTAATATGTGGAAGTCACCACGAAGGCCCTTACAGTTGTCAGACTCTCCGCGACCAACTAGCGTGGAGACCACGAGTAAACACACACTCATAGCCCAGCCCATCAATTAGCGGTATCGCGCATGCGTAATGCGCCGAGGGTTTGAACCTTACTTTTCAATTGGAAGCCAAGAAAGGTTAGGTTCTACGGAACCCATTGGATAGATGGAAGGACAGGGTGCTAATGTATGGGCTGGTGGACCTGAATCGATAATTGCTGCATAATTATAATTATTGTTACAAGTGCTGTAGAGTACCATGAAAGACTATATAGGTGTCACTACAGGCTAACTCACATAGCTCACTGACACATGCAAGAATACCATGCACAAATGCTATATAGCTATTAATAGTCATGAGCAATTTGTAGTTAGTCTGCTTGGATGTATAACGAAGAAGTATAGCTATTAGGAATGTAAAACCCGGCCATAACACAGTCACAACAGCTTCATAGTTCATCCAAATGATCTCAGCCTGCAAGTATGTATTCCCAAGAAATTAGCCTTTGGGAAGAGCCCTACCTTTGACTGACAATCTTAAGACTCTTCATAACTTATATACACAACATGGTCTCTTAGCTACTATAGTACAAAACAGTATATATGGAAGTTAACACCTTGTATGACATAATAAACTTGGGATTCCGTGCTATTTTGCCAGGAAACTGCAATGGAATGGCTGATTAACCTATGAAGGCAATATTTATTCATGTTTTTCAGGCTGCCAAATGTGTGCATGCAGATTCTTCGAATTAATCTCTTGTATTGTGTCCTGCTTCACAATAGTTGGAGAAATTGGCGCAATCCCAAAAATGTGCTGTATCAAAATCACATGCTCTGCAGCTCTAGTTATGAGTAACGTTAGCGCTCATTCTAATACTATAGGTATTGCTTTAATGTTCGTATGAATCCGTTATTTCTGTTTTGACAGAGTACCATGTTCCGTGACAAGAGATCAGGCTCCATGACTCGGCTCAACATTGCCCCTAATGTACTGGTGTTTTATATCTCCTCCACCAGACTTATTATTGTAAGTTCAACCAATATGGGGTAAACTTTACTCCATGCACTGTAAACCCTTATGGACTCAATACAGCAACAAATACAACATGAAATTAATCTCAGCGATACTAAGCACCTTGACATTCAGTCACCTGCCACTGCCCCGGGTGGCTAATGCAAAATGCAACATTTTGATAAGTGATTTGCAAGGCTCAGAGTACGTCATCTTAATATCATCCCAGGGGAGGCTGCATATACTCAACATTTTAAAGCTGTTCATGCATGTGTGCATTTTAAGCGGACAATGTATATAGTTGCAAGGAGAAGTGGTTCTGACTAGTATTGATGCAGGGCAAACATTCCTCTCCAGCAGTTCCATGTATGCATTTAACTCAGCAAGAAAAAAAACCAGGCGCTGCAAACACATGAAGTTAGAATAAAGTTTATGTGGCCCCTGGGGTACATATATATAGCTGTTTTTGTGACTGGAAACTAACCACCTTCGAAAACATTAAACTTTGAGATTGAATATTATATGATAGGTGTTGGATAGAGGTAGAATAACTATTTTCCGAGAGATTGCATCACTCCACACCTACAACGAATTCTATGGGGTGAGAAGTTTTGACTCATCCGACCCTACCCCCTTGGAGAGGTTTCGTGGCAACGGTCAGTCTTTTGTCGAAATGTATATACGAAGAATGGTGCTTAATTAATATAATGGTTGATTCAACATACACATACAAACACTGTCACATGTGTGCAATTTACTGTTATGTATATAGTATTTTGTTATGCAATGCTATGCATATCACAATATTATTGCTACATAAGCCTAATGAAGAGAGTTGATTGCTAATTACAAAACTTTTATGGTGCTCTATGCAGCTGAAGCTCATGAATGACCAATTTCTGGGAGGAAAAAGCCCACAGGGACATAGGCTGTTACAGAATATTTCAATATGCAGTTAGGTGTCCAGTGTTGAAGCTACATAATATGGCATTAATGCACTTTATCGCTTAATGTAAGACATTGAATACGAGAGCAAACTGGTCATTTCTGTAGGTATGCTGACAGTCATCAACAACACTTGCTACTATTACATCTTTGGAGTTGACCCAAAGGTATTATACACATTTCTGTCTCTAAATATAGACTGGGTTAGGTATTCTGTTGGTATGTATCAGCTTCCAAGAATTTGCCTTTGCTCCTAGAGTCTGCATACCTTGACTGAGACAGTACAGTTAGAGCTCTGATTACAGGGTTGGTACAATAATTACACACTTAGTTTGCTGTCTGGAATGAGTCAGAATAAACGCTACTTTTGGGAGTTTAAAGGAAATGTGGCAGTATACGACACACAGGGACTGAATCTGTTGCTAAAATGGACAATGTTCTTGCACTGGGCCTTAGTCAATTTAGCCCTTATGTACGGCCACATTCCTTTAAAGTTACGGCTAAAAGCAGGCACACTGATTATCAATACAAACTCCTTTAAAAAGAAGGATGTGGTATTCCAATGCCCAGAAAAATGTAATAACCCTTTGCATAAATATAATATGGCCATAATGTGCAGTTCAAGCCAACCACTGATGAGCAGTGGGTGATAAGATCTCTACTTGATGCTCAAGAAGCTCTTGTCATTAACACTGACTTCATCATTGAGGAAGACCCTGATGGTATGCCAACAGCTGACACTTTTTGTAGTATCACTAGGTAATTAGAATTGTGGTGTCTAGTTACAGCTGATAAAGCTGTTGAAAAGGTTTGGTACCACTTTATTGTTATCCACAAGTCCTTATTGAACCACAGATGATCCAGCTCCACAAACCGGCCCAAGTGGTCCCCCTGGTTCTCCTGGATCCCCTGGTTCCCCAGGTTCCCCTGGCCCTCCAGGAGTCTCAGGATCCTCCTACACTTCCTACTCATACCATTACACCTATACCTCCTCTTCCTCCTCCTCCTCATCATCATCGTCATCACCTTCTGGGACCTCAAAACTGACTCGATCAACAAGTAGGTTAATAGCTACATACCAGTTGTAAACTAAACATCCAACCACAATAAACCTGTATGAGCTACACACGAGGCCCTATGAATAGAAGAGATCTGTATATTACCCAATGCTTGGGTGTTGGATAGCTTATGGGACTTTTGTTCCTGGTCACGCAAATATTTGCAAAATCAATTAGAGGGTGCTCATAAACATTATTATTACTAGTGGTAACTGGAACCTGGTTCCACACATACGTATCTATAACCACTGCCCATACTTCCACCAAGTGATTCTTAATTGGAGATACATTTCTACATGAGCATACATACTAATTGGGTTACTTAGGTGCAGTAGAGGAAGCATGCAGGAATCTCATGCTTAATTGAGACCGTGGGACATAACTCTCTCAGGTTACTCGTTCCCTTGTATACGTACATCCATAAACCCATCCATTAGTTTGCAATTAGCTATTAATGGAGAATTTTGCTGAAATTGTGTGCATGGCTCTGTATCTTGTTCCTTCCCAATGAACGTGTGTAACACACTGATAGGTATGCGTAGAATACACGTAGATAACCTATAGAATTCTGTTGAACGGGCCTCAGGGTTAAGGACACTTTGGGAAATAAGAGGTTCATCCCCTCCATCAGAGATTGATCGCTATCCAACTCTTGGAGAGATTTGCCAATTCCATGGAGGAGTGATGTTTCGTGTTCTGTTACAAATTCCGTAGCTGAACTATATTATATATACCAGTCTCTCAAGTTCCTTTCATTCAATATAAGGCTGGGGATTATAGGAGCCAATTGCAGCGAGTGTTTTAACGAGCTGTCATACCGAGTCATCCCATGCATAGCATGTACCCAGACAAAAGGTCTGGGAAAGATGGAGCCATACTTATGTAGAATCCCTCTGCTTATGGTGAACAATCCCTGTCATGTAGCTCAGCCAAGCTTCCATTCATATTTCACATGTATCCCAATACACTGCTTATGCAAGCTCTACACGGGCACCAGTGTAAATGATATATATATCTGTGGCATGTCTTAAAATATTTCCAGGATGCTTCACCATGCACATTCATGTACATACATACTCAGTATACAATCAATCACTTGTCTCAAATTTTTTACCTAGAAAAGTCCCCACCAAAGAAGTCACGAATGACGAAATCTAAAAAGGCGCATCGTTCCAAGTCCAGGAGGAGAGGCGAGTCTCTTGATTTGCTGAGTTTCTGTAGTGATGTTAGCGCTTATAATTATACAGTAGTCTTTTTATAGTCTTTTCTTTATTCACAGGAAGACGTCAAACAAATCCGCCACTTGCTCCAATCGTCACAGATACTGCTGTTCTGAGTGCCAACTCATGTAATGCTGTCGTTCGCGCTGTCGCACAGTCCATCATTGCTATATCCGGAAACTAAAACAAAAAAAGACACCAATTCTTGATACTTTGATATTGATGCATCATGCCTAATCATAACAATTTTGGTCACAATCTACTATATAGCTACATGGGGAGGGACGTGCGCATGCGCGAAATTTGGTAGGCGTATAAAAGCGCGCGGCGCGAGCTGCAGCAACAGCTCAGCTCAGCAGGAGACGATGGCGTTCAGTACACTGGCTCTTATTCTGGCGTGCATCAGCCTGCCCCTTGCAGTAGGCGATGAAGGTATGGTGTTTTACTCACTGCACTAACCACGGTCGCCGCGTACAAAAAGATTATCTCTATAATATTGCAGAGGAACTTGTCACTCTACGTTTCGGGGACGACGTCGGCGACCTCTTTGGTCCATACTCAGCGACCAATGACTTCGTATCGCGCGAGATACAGCTAGATGGACGGTACATTTTCTACGGCAAGGAGCAGAGGAGTCTCTATGTAAGTGAATGAATAAATAGCTAGCCACCCATGGGCGGTGTTGGTGCACCATAAAGCTGGTGTCGAAACATGTTAACTTTTCTGGTGCTCGGTCTGGTGTTACAAAATAAGCTCTATGATGATCAGCGTACTCTGACTTGTAACGGTACAAAATGTTGAAATCTTTTATTAAAAAAACCTTGTGCCAAGTCTAGAAGGTAGCAGTACCAATAACTTTGAAGGGTGTGGCAGTTGCTCGAATGTGCTAAGTTAGGAGTTGGGGCACTCAATCCATTAGGATGCTTATCGTTAAGATTGGCATGGATGTCTTTCTATTGACTTGTGGCATGGTAACAATCTTCTCGTAGTTAGGCCTGATGGTGTAGAATTCGATGCTCGCTTTGTACTTATCAAGACACCAAATGTGTCAGTCGGTCACTTGAGGCGCCCGTGTTGTGAAACACGGATAGCTTTTGGGAAATGACCAACAACAGCAATCAATGCTAGGTGGAGATGTCTCACATTTCCCCTGTTTAAGTCACGTCTATACAGCGTTTGGCTAGGGGGTAGTGGATGCGGTTGCAACAGCACTTGAGCACTACTTGAAGGCAATAGATCACCATTCACCTTCTCATTACAAGTTGTGCAAGAGCTATATATATACACCTCCATTTACGTTCTCTAAGGTAATGACTTTGTTTATCTCAAGTCTCAAGTTATACCAGTCACTACCTGTGGGACTGTTGCTTGGTAAACAATGGAGATTAACTTGTAGGTATGTGTAGATAAAGTTGATATAACCAGTCCTGCATTGGAATGGAAACCTCTTGGAGACAAGGGTTGATGAGGGTGGAGAGTCTGGGGCACTTATCTAGAGTAAGACTTCAAGGTTGGGAAAATTTACACCACCCAGACTGAGTGATGGGAGGAGTCCAGAGGGGAGTGATCATAGTAACTTGAGAAGCAAAACATGGGGAAAATTAGAACTGATGAGGTTAAAGGGGAGCAAAGTTATCAGGAAACGGCTGGGTAGGAATTTAACCAAGCCTGAGCTGAATTAGTGTGGCAGAATAGCTTTGTAAGACTGTTGGTACATACCCATGCAGCAGGGTAACCGCAGAGCTGCTCAGGTTACATAGCTTGGGTATCATGTTACTGCCTGCTTCCTAAGGTTACACATTCCACTGCATTCCCAGGATGCTCCTGTCCATAGATGCATAAATATTGTTGCTCTCAAATCTCTGGCAACTGACAGTGGAAAATTCCGAGGAAGCACAATTCCGCTTTCGGCTATTAACAGCTGTTTACCCTTAAGACCAGCACAGAGACATTCACAATCAAATCTAGCCAACACACACATAATTCTGCATCACACAGTGATCAAATAAAATAGCAAAAATCATAATCGTGTTACTACATTTTTTATACTGTATTTTTGTGATGACGCCACATTACGTATGATGTGCATGCATAAAATCTACTCCAACTACATGCTAGACTCGCTCATAGAATGTGTCCCTTAGCTAAAGTCATCAATTTCTGGCAACGGGTTGCCTGGGCCCATCGTATCAATACTTTGGAAGTTGCTGCAAGTTTTGTTGAACAAAGTTGCCGCGTGTATGGCCTGCTTAAATTTGTTAGTTGTTATTGCACGCCGTGTAATTGGCACCGTGCAAGGAATCACTTTACTCCTTATCTGGCATATACGTGGCTTCAAGCAGGAAATTAAGTGATTCTATTTCCGTACCTCACCCGTCTACAGATCAGTGAGAACGGAGTGATATCATTCGAGAAACCCTTCCCCGACCCATTTCCTTCACCTCTCCCTCTATCAGTGCCTTCAGGAGGCACATCCACCCCTCCACCCCTCATCGCTGGGTTCTGGGGCGACATCAACGTCCCCAAAAACGGCGGCGCCATTTTTCACGTCGAGATGAACAACATGATCAATGGACGTTTTGGGAGAGCCAGGGCCAAGGTTCTCAATCTATTGAGGGGAGGATTTGGCCACACTATGGAGGATTTCTTCCCTACTCACATTTTTCTCTGTACTTGGGAATCGGTTCACGAGAATGATCCTGGGATTGCAAAGAGGGTGAGTTGTCAGTTAGTGGGTCGCGCCACCTACGTACATGTGTATCACAGATGTTTGTAATTAAGCGTTTATTAGCCTGGCCGTACTATTTTATCATGTGATAAATTTCATCTGCATCCGATGGTCTTGATGCATGGAGATACTGTCCCCTATATGTAAGATAGAAACGTATTGCTAAGAGTATACAAGAGAATTATGTGGGAGAATTTACATCATAATTAAACTACAATATTGATCGTGAGTACATAAACATTTTTGCCCAAGTATGGAATTGGCTTGCTCCGATCAATAATTGAAAGGTCTAGTGGGACTGCTATAATAATATGGAGAGTACTCAATATTCTGGCATGTGCGGCCTTAAACATTGTTAAAAACTAATGACCAGGTTTGTCATCCCACATACGTTTTTCTGATTTATGGTTTGTATATCATGTGTTCTAGTTGGTCTGTTTGCCAGGAAGAAAGATGTTTTGAATAGCTCTGGTCCTCTTTACTACATAGTGAGAGGTATAGAATTCACATGTAAGTGAGGGTTGAAGTGATAATAGATCATCATCTGAATAGTGTCGCCCAAACATTTACTAGAGTATCATACACACACAGTAATGGGTACGGTGTTCCCCCCAATGTGCAGGCGGTCACGTTCCAGATAGTCTTGGCGACTGACACGGTAAAGACGTACACTCTCTTGCTGTACTCTGACGTCCGCTGGGACAGAAGCAATGGACACGGAGTTCTCGTCGGTTTCAATGCAGGTTTGCCTCCTTACCATCCTCGATCTCTCGATTGAGTCCAATACAACATTAAGATAGGTATATAGCATTAGCAAGACCAAAGTGAGAGTGTAATTGGTGAGTGCATGATTATGTTCTGCTGATGTTCGCTCACCATACATACTGGCATTCCAGTGCATATTATTGTTCGTAGGGAGCTTCGTGTTGATAGAGTGTAGCAACACATGCAACTAGCCGAAAACAGCTAAACTTGCATGTCTGATGTATACATGGTAATTGTACCACCGTGACCGTAAGGCTTGTTACCATCGGCACGCATGCGCAGCGAGGGTATATACAGTAGGTGGGTCTGTATGTCTGTGTGTCAGTCTGTCTGTTACTCTACATCTCACTTCTCGAGTGTTTGTTCGTCTCACAAAGGGTATGACCTACTTAACGGGCAATGATGGTCAGAAATTTTGTGGGGTTTTCTCTGAAACGGCTTACCAAGGTCTGATCGATCCGCTTGCTCTGCGTACCTCGGAGGCTCCAGAAGACACAACGCAGGGCATGTATCGCCTCTCGCATGCTATCTAGTAGTATAGTTAGCCCACGTCAGACTCTGCGCGAGACCACGAGTAACAGCTAAAACAACCCAGCCCATCAATTAGTGGTACGGCGCATGCGTTTACTTACCCGTGCGCATCACAATGCGCTGAGGGTTTGCACTTCAGTGCTTTTCGTTACATTTTGTTAGAATGCTAATTTATTTGACACTTATTGACTTATTATTAACAATTTGTCTCAAAGCAACAGGTGGTGTTAAAATGACTCGGTTAATATTCCTTAAATCAATACCACAATTATTTCGCTGGATAATGCAACCAGGTGAAATCATTGTGTCAATCACAATCCTTCTTCCCACAACATGAGGCCTCTGTTTACCAGCCCAGTTACGTACATATGTACAACCTACCATTGTGTTGTACTCTGTAACTGGAGACAGGTATGCATGTGCTGTGCTCCAGGTATCTGTCTGGTGTCTGAGTGTTGGCATCTGCCTGTGGTGGAAACAGCAACCTCTGCACGCTCCACTATTGGCCAACCGCTGGCTATAAATGTCGGTTAATTTGGTAATTTCCCTGTGCCAAAACAGGTCGTGTTTTCACCAAACGCCCCCCTGCAGAGACGTGAGGTCCACGTCTGTACATGCATGCAAGCACAGCCAGAGTCTTTGGCTTGTGTGTGGGTGATGCAATGATGAGAATGTCACGTAGTAATTACAGTCACTATATAATATGACTGGTATTATACCTACAGCCTAGATCTGTAAATTGACACAGCCTCTTGCATTCAATGTGTTATAGTGCACCGTAATCCGTAAAGTACACTGTATTGCGAATGTATACGTGTGCATCAGCAACAGAGGTAGAAAAAAATGCAACACAATGCAATTCATTGACATGTTGCACTAAAAATGACTCTTGCTTTATTGCTTGTACTCCAACACAACATACCAGCTGTATCTTGTTAGCATCCAGCCACAGCCACAGCCAGTGTAGTCCTAGATCTGTAAATTGACACAGGCCCTTCCTACAAGGCAATGTTACAACTCAACACCTCCAGTGAGGGGTTGGGCCAGTGACTCTTGTCCTCCCACACAAACATACCAGCTGTATCATGCTAGCATCCAGTGTAGGCTTCCTACAAGGCAATGTTTCATCATACACAACCCAGTTGCCATTTATGTGAGAGGTTGGGCCCAGTAACCCAATAAGCGCATCAGTTTAGTAGTAACTTGCTGTGAGTTGGGTATGCACCAGCTACCTCTACTGCTTCAAGCGTTGTTGACACATACATATCAGCATGCATGTATACAGTATGGGACATCTAAAGGTATTCATAGAATGTTAGTGCGTTGGGCAGCCTGAGAAATGTATGATTTCAGCTTACATAATTATTACCTTGTGTACAGGTGGCGACAATGAGGCCGCTATTCTTGCAGGTGGGCATGTGGTTTTTGTAAGATATCAGTGGGAGTGGGGAATGAAGCCTGGGGGGATGGAATTCTTGACAATCACAATCATTGCATAACTCTTCACCAGAGAGGGGTATGTGTCTTGCGCTTCAGGTCTCATTAACAACCAAACAGAAGACTGAGTGTGTGAATCATAGCAGTGATGATTCAATACAGGAAAGGAACCTTCAGGTGAAGGAAAGGAATGCATGTATCTTTATACAGTCGACCATTAAACTATATAGCACAGGAGGAGTTAGCTCATATATAGGGTCTATTGGAGACACCTGTTTGATAATGATAGAGCACTTCTTTTGAAAGCACTTGTGTATACATTTGTAGCCAAAAAAGTGCAAGTGCAAAAAGCAGTGGCGGATGTAAAATTTTGAAAGGGGGGTTCCGCTGTCCAGAACATTTTCGACCGCGCTCGTGCGCGCGCATAAGGCCGGCGACGCATGCGTGCAAAACGACAAAAAGGGGGGTTCCGCAAAACCCATAACCCTCCTGGATCTGCCACTGAAAAGGTTGCTATTGATGCTATATTATAGTTAATAATAGTGGGAAGACTTCTTGGAGAACGGTTGGGAGGACGGTGCCTACACCCCGAGAGCCTGTTGTCTAACTGTACCGACCCATAGTATGGTTAGGTTAATGGTTTCACCAGCTAGGTCAATAGCTACACATTGAGAAGGTGCCCATTTTCTGTGGAATCCCAGGTGGAGCTTGTGGCAAGCAATGATCGTGAAATGTGATTAATTTGGCTGTAAACGTAGCTAACTCGGTAGTTGCTTCTGCTCCTCCTACGTAGGATATACTGCTATAGTAGTGTGGATTGATGTAGGTCGAAAATTAATCTAATTATGTTAGCTTATCAAATTTGCACCTACTTAATTTTGCAATACATGTGGGATTGTTGAGTATGAGTTTGAAAATACCTCTATCAGTTTTCAAACACAGTCTATATACGTACCTGGTGTTTTGTTACACCTGTACGCTAGGACTAGCGTAGCATGTATGACAAACGTACTGTATTGCTCAGTTGTGGCTCCCATTATGCACGCAAGTAGATCTTGCTACAAAAAACTAAAGAAGTAACTCCCGCATGCTATCTACTAGTGTACCTAGCCCGTGTCAGACTCTCTAGCAGGAGACCACGAGTAAACGCATACTACGGCCCAGTCCATCAATTAGTGGTACTGCGCATGCGCAGTTTGCCGAGGGTTTGCACTTTAGTTCTTTTCATTATAAATATGCGATGCTTGCAGTCCCCTGTGTCTCCAAGGTATTTACACAGAGCAAGCGGAGCAGTTTGAGGTAAGCCCAGTGTGATTATGGCTTTTTCGCTTGTTTTCACGGCATATCTCTCGAACGCAATCGTTTCAGGAAAATCGCCGTTTTATTTTTCAGGCTCGTGTAGTTCTGAAGCCATTGGTATCACTTATAGACCGCCTCGTGGCCTGTAGTGCCATAATAATTATGTGTCGACACACAGACACACAAACCAACTACTGTAACCCTCGCTGCCTATGGTTAATGACAGTCATTCAGTATGTATGTATGTATGTACGTCACTGAATAGTTACGTATCAATTAATTAGGCGCTCTCATGGAATGCTTAATGCTCTTTATGTGCTACATACTACGTAGGTTAGTTGACTAATTCTGTATACGTCATAAACCACAGCTCTTAAATCAGTGTGGTGGAAGTCATGCATGCCTGCATGATGAGCGCTTGTGTACGTATACTGAATAGGGGCTCTCTATAAGGGAAGTGTTGGATTCATGACACACTACAGTGTTGACATCCAAAAGTCCAAAGTCCTATATACGTATGTAGCGCTCAGTATAATTATGTATGACTATTGTAATGAAAAGCACTAAAGTGCAAACCCTCAGCGCACTGTGCATGCGCGGTATATACCTCTACTTAATGAATTGGGCCAAGAGTATGTGTTTACTTGTGGTCTCCATGCTATTAGCTCGCGGAGAGTCAGACACGGGCTAGCTACAGTAGTAGATAGCATGCGGGAGTTGATACACGTGTGACTTCTTGAGCCTCCAAGGTACACAGGAGCGGATCAGTTTGCGGAAAGCGATAATGCATGTTGGCTTTTTCGCTTGTTCGCTTGTTTTCACTGCATATCTCTCGAACACAGTCGTATCAGTATAATCGTCTTTGTATTGTTCAGGCTCGCGTAGTTCAAAAGTGGCTGGTATCCCTCATAAGCCCCCTCGTAGCCTGTAGTGCCAGAATAAGCGTCGACACTCACACAGACAGACAGACAAACAAACCAACCAATTACAGTAACCCTCACTCGCTTTACATGTGCGCCGATGTGTTTGTAGCTTAGCTAATGAAACAGTGTGTGTGTGTGCATGTGCATGCAGGTCTGTTTGTCTATGTGTGTGTCCATGTGTGCATACCTGGATGTGCATGGGTGTACACGTGCATTGTATAATGCGAAGGAGTAACGTTAGTGCAGCCAATTGTTACACAGGGATGTTTCAGTAAAAGTATATACAGTGAAAATCATGAATAGGGAGGGGGTCGGGTCGGTCTTATCCCTTGTTTCAACACCTCGTTAGGCAGAACTTAACGACAGCTTTTGTAAGGAAGTCTCATGTGCCATCTGAGACCTATGGTATGCACTGTGTTTGCTTAACGATCAATCTGCCAGACTGTGTTTACTTAGCCACACAGTGAGTTGTCACACCTGTGGTTCGGAACTGGTTTTCTTTGATGAACAACAAGACCTGATCTCCAAAACATTTCTTACGTAGTTCTATTTGGAAGCATCATGTATTTTATAATTATATACACAGACAACCCTAACTTTTTGCTGGGACATCTGTGTAAGATGGCCAGTAGCTGTAGTTGTTGAGTGTGTTTGCTTGTCCTTATTGTCTTCAGCTTGCTTCAATTTGTCTGACTACAGGGTGACCTCAAAACAGTGTTTGCACACTCTAAGTGGTGGCAATAAATGAAACAGTGCAAGCTCATGTTGTCATGCTATGTACGTAGTGTGTACAGCACAGGTTGACTGCTTATAAAATGCCCTCTCCTTACCGCAGCACACAAAAAAACTAAGTAGGTGCAAGCGGGAGCGAGCACACAGTGACTGTATCTGCATGAGCCATCCACAACTTGCATCTTGGAACCAGAAAGGTTGTGAAAAGAGGTACAGCCTCGGTCAGTCACTGAAGGGCACAGTGAATGCTGTCCAATGGAGGAGAGTTCTCTCACTGGCTAGATCGTTCATCGAACATGTAGGCAGCGTGTACAAATTTTGAAAAGATGTCAGATAAAAAGAAGTCGTAATCCTGGCGCATGTGCAGTTGAACGACGTATGGACACATAAATCGCGCCGTTCGGACCGCTAGGTTAGCTCGCTCCCACTCGCAAATGAAAATCCCCACATTCTTCTAGTAACAAGATTCTGACCAAAAGTGCACATTCTTTCCTTTTCCTAATTGGATTGCAATTGTTCAGGTTGCGAAAGATGCCACTAAAATGAGCACAAATTGGTGAATTCCTTACGTAAATTTGAACACCTGTGTTTAGCCTTCTGTGGTGTGTGTATACGTGTGAAGTGATTTATTCAATCATCAGAGTATTACGTAGTGGTTATTACCCACAGAGTCTAGTGGTTCAATAGGTTTTTACACACAAGGCAGTAGCATATCTAGTAGTGGGAGGGGCAGCTACGCATGTGCCCTGCACATAATATCTCATCTTCTTTGTCTACCTTGGAATAATACTGGCGCCAAATATCACAGAATGAATTATTATGCCATTTTGGGCGAAACAATTGTGTTAGATTTGATGTTGCCCCCAACTAACCTCATTCTGAATGAAGTTGTAGTGAAAAAGCCTCTGCATATCCAGTTTCAAACAACCCTTGCGTGTACACCTATTATGCATATTATCGCTGTGTTTCTCTTCAGGTGATGGGGTCAGGTCCCACACTTATAATGGAAGTATCCTGAACCTGGATGTTGACAGCAATGCTGGAACTAGTGGAGCACACGTCTACCGTGTCGACCAGAATGAGATCACTGAACCCACTGATGGTATGCGTGCCTAGGTTCTTATACTGTGCTTATCAGTGCAGTGCGCATGGAGAAAATCATATTATGTTCAGCCATCTGAACCCACTTCACGAAATAGTTCACTGACTGGTGGAAACTTTGTCATAAGTAGTAGAAAGAAATATTGTTTAGCTTTCCCGAACAAAAACATATCCCGCTTCATTGGTTCATAGGTATGCCATTGTGTACAGATACAACGCACAGGAATTCACAAATGAATGCTTTTTTTGGAATATAACCTCTCCTTCTTACAGCTTCAATGCTTAATGCATGCATCAAACTTCAAACTTTGAGGAATGAAATACACACATGTAATGTAAGTAATGTTGTTGAGATTGTGATTTATGTCAGTGTGATTTGTTTAGTTCAGAGGAGTCAGGCGGTATGTGAGCTGTCATTCAATGAGTCTAAAGAACAAGGGGAAAAGTTCCAGTGCGACTGCCGCTCTGAAGACAGACCTATCCTCGCCTACAACCAGATCAACTGCCGTAAGTCCATTTTTATGGTATATTATTTGAATGTGAGTAGGTGGTGGTTTGAACATTTCTTTGATATGCAAAGGTTAGGACATAGGGCAGAAGTTACTCCTTTTGATATTAGGTGGAACATATTAAGTTACATAATAATTATGATGCTTTTATAGCATAAAATGTCTCTCTGTGCAGTCCAAAAGCCTCTTGTAGTCAGTTTCCGCAATGACACACCGGTGGTCATCAGCGACAGCGTGCAGGGCCTACTTCAGTGCCAACAGACCAGGTGTGGAGCTCTCCTGCCACATACCCAAGATTGACAGGAGCAGCAAAGACGACTGTAAGCATTTATCATAGTACATTCACAATTATAAGCAGTTTTCATGAGTGTGGTTCTGCTTACATTATGGGAAGAGTTCACCAAAAAAACTACGTACGATTGATGTGAATTCATATGATTTGCAAACATTTTTTACATGATAATATTCATAAAGGCTTGGGAAATCAGCGGCATTGTAGAGATCTTTGGCACAATACATGAATGGTGAAAGTCACTCGTGTGTGTATTGTAGGTATATGCATCCTTATTTGAAAACAAAGAAGCATTAACACTTAACCAGCCTCTGTACAGAGCCTCCATAAGTCCATAAGAATTTATATGGAGGTTATAATACTAGGCGCTAATACTTTATCGTACATGCATATTTAAGGAGATACCTACAGCGTCAAAAGGGTTAAATCCCATGCTCTAGGCTGATTATACTTTGCACATACATACATTGCTATTTGAAACTGTGATCACTTCAAATAATTACGTTTGATTTCGACATGAATGCCGTAAACCAGCCATGAAAAATTGATATGAAATTTTCTTTATTTTCCTGTCAATAGGTGCATCAGGTAGACTAGTACGAGGGGACATGCCACCTGGAAAGTACTCCATGAGGATCATAGCCAGTGACCCGGCCACCAGAGAGAGGGCCGTTCTCCGAGGCTACTTCTACATACCCAAACTCAACCCACTCACCAGAGAGCTGCCGTGTGGTGCGACGGTCATCAACACGTCATCAGAGCAGCAGGGCAGTGCAGTGAAGGTGGAGTTCAGAGGCACAGGTTCCGCCAGAAGTTTCCAGTGCAGACTAGACAAGGGAGACAATCATGCCTGTAAGTTAAGACATGTATATTAGTGGGAAATGATTTGGCATGTGTGTTTTATTAGGTGGGAGATAATCTGTTTTTTGTTTTGAGAGCCAATTAAGGGGGGGTTGACTTTAGAAAAGCTGATCTACATACGGAATTTATCGTTAGCAAGAGTTTTCCTTGAAGGTGCAAATTTTTTATAAGTTCTACTTATGACCATTGCTCCAGCAAAGTCTCTATAGAACCTTATTGTATTATGCGTGGGCGAATCAAAGGCGCCACCAGTACTATATTCATCATACAGAACGGTTTTTGAATGAACTGTACTATATCGTGCGGAACTGTACTATATCACACGAACTGTACTATATCCGCGAACTAGCGTACGCTTTGCGGGAATGACGCCTCGGCGGCCTTTCGTAGACGGAGGTCGACTCAGACAGTGACACAAACAGCTCCTGGAAGGGCGCTCCGCGAGCTTCTAGTCCTTCTGAACTTAGATTTTCCTGGCCGCCGCCTTTTGAACTATATCTGCGGACTAGCGTACGCTTTGCGGGAATGACGCCCTCGGCGGCCTTTCGTAGACGGAGTTCGACTCAGACGGTGACACAAACCGCTGCTGGAAGGGCGCTCCGCGAGCTTCTCGTCTGTTCTGAACGCCGGTTTTCCTGGTCGCCGCCTTTTGAATCGCCCACGCATACAATAAATTACTTAATGTACCGAAGCACGTGCTGTGCGCGTAATAATGGTACTCGGAACGTGGTCTCGATAGATCATACAGCAACTCGGCTGCGCCTCGTGCTGTATGACTATCTCGACCACGCCCCTCGTACCATTATTACGTGCACAGCACTGACTTCCGTACAATAACTATTACATACATTACACAGATAATTATGTAAGTAAAATGTGTAACCTGTGAGTAATGCTTTCTAAGTATATAGCACTTTTGTAACTTTATTGTTTCAACCTGTTGCTATTATAGGTCAAAGTCCATTTACGATGGAGGGAGTTTCACCAGGGAGACACCGTTTGGTTGTGGTGCCAAGTGGTCCTGACTGCAATCGCAGAAACAGACACACAGCTTCTCATTCTTTCACTGTCAAATCATCATAGACATTTGCCACATGATTCTTTTTTCACAGACTAGCCGCAAATTATACAATGTAAGTATGATTTTCACCTTTCTCTGCCTTCATCATTCATTTATATGGACATATCTATATTATATTCAAAACATGTGATTTTTTGTTTAATGCTATATATTATATACAGTCTTTTGTGCAAATGGTTTTTAAGTTGTTGCGCCTTCTGATAAAACAATTATAATGAAATCGTATGACACGTCCATATATATACACGACGGAAATAATGTCGGGTAGCGAGCTAACACTTCATATAGCCAAAATTCTATGGACTAAATGGCATGGTGAAACGTTTTATTCTATGCACCAGCTAGCCTAGTTAGATCTGAGTGAAACTGTTTCCACTGGTGAGTATCCTGACATTGAGATGAAGAACAGGTTGTGAGCTGTATATACAAATCCAAGGTAGTGTAAGTGCATGAGCTAACTTACAGTATGTAAGTCACAGACAATGATAGTAAATTTCTAGTGTTGTGTTAAGTACTTAATATTGTGCATGTGCAGTTATTTGCATGCTTATCATGATCATGATCTTCCTTCCCTTTTTCCCCACATTCGTTTTCTCACACTTTATTACAGTCCTTCACATCACGTTTCCTCTACAACTGCCCCAACTGTGCTATACTTTGAAACCTGAGCCTACGTAATGACAAGCAGATCCAATAATGTAGAGATCATCAGGTGCTGCTGCTGTAGAGAACAGTCACGCTCCACAGTGATTCTCATCATTAGTCAGCCTAGTGAACCATCAGTAATGTTTGCGTGCTGTGAACATGGAACACACAAACGAGTTTTCTTATCTCCCACAGACCCACATGCTCTGCAGGTGGGGAAACAATTATATTTACAGTCTGTAACGAACTATTTAATTAACAGCTAACAAGCCACGGACACGTGTCCAGAGCCTATAAGTCCATGGGAATTTATATGGGGGTTATAACACCACACACTCACATGTTAAATTTGCTTATAAGTACCAATGGCGTCCAAAGGAATGTCGTTGGCCTACACCTGCTATTAGTACATTGCTTGAGGCCTTCTTAAAGTGAAAAGGCTAGAAAGAGATTGTAGTAAAATTTTTGCTTGCCACCCATGCAAACACCAACACTAATGGTGGAGACATGGCGGGAGACATTGTGTCGAACATTAGAACTTTATGTTGTCTCTGTAAGCGAAGCTCTAGCAGTCATTAATCTGCATTAAAGAACACGTGAATAAGAAGGGTGTTAGGTATTAGGAGAATACTTCACTGAAGCAGTGAAAGACAGCACGGGATCTATTATGAATCAACTCAATTGATTCAATAGCACTGTTTGTGTGCTCTGCAATAATTGGATCATTAAACAATCCATTGACCCATGTGTGCTTCGCATATTGTGCTTTTGTGACCCACCATTGTTATATAGCAAGCGTTTTGTTCGAAAAGAAAGTTCAGTAATAAAAACATTGCTGCTACACCTACAATGAAAAGGCAAACCCATCCGGCGAACTGCGCATGCGCGGTACCGCTAAATTGATGGGCTGGCCATTAGCACGCGCTTACTCGGGGTGTCTCTTCCTAGGTTGTATATAGCTCGCGGAGAGTCTGAAACAGACTAGCTACAGTGTTAGATAGCATGCGATAGTCGATACACGCCATTCGTTGTGACCTATTGTGCGTTCAAGGTACACAGGCTGAGAGCAAGCGGACCCGGTAGAGGTAAGCCGAGCACATTGGCTTGTTCACTTGGTTTTCTCGCCATAACTCTCGACCGCAGAACTTTTACGAAATTTAAAATCAAGCCAGTGTAGCGCTGAACCTTTTGGTATCGCTCTTTTGTTGTCCCGTTGCGCGTGGTGGCAAAAAAACGACAGACACACCACACACGAACCAACCCTCGCTGGGCATGTACGCCGATGGTTAGTAGGATACATTATCGACGCCGCGCATGCGCCTCTTGTTCCAAGAGGCGCGCGCACGCAACCGCCGGTAGATATAGCACAGCCTTAGTATCCAGGCTCATAAGGTATCGCTCGTCAACAAAGTTGCGTAACCTGCTAGCTATACTGTGGTATAGAGAGATGTTTTGCTTAAAACTACTGATCATATTGATAGCATGTATATGTGAAATTTCATCTCAGAATTGTCCAAGTAAGTGAACCTCGTACACTCGTAGAAATATTATGTAAATTTCGTGTTGCAGATTATGGTGAAACACTTCTTGACTGCCCAAGTAAGAAGCTTTTTAAAAGTACTAAACCGCTTTTAAAATCAAACTTTGTGCAGTTACATTTTTGCTATCCCACACACCAAATGGTTGTGGCATAACTCCAAAGGAGATAGAACACAAAGATGAATCAATACCCTTTGACGAAGCTAACGTGTTTGTGAGTGTTGACTGAGTAGTAAATTTTATATACGTAGCTTCTATTCATTGGGCAGGTCTATCCAAATGGAAATGCAACTTTCGATACAACATCAGTTTTTCTGAATTGGACTACTTTGAGTCCAAAGTTTTGTCCAACACACATTACTTTCAAGGATTCAACTTTAAACGATGCTGAATTACGTTCAGATGATGAGAATGCAAGGAATGGCCAGAAGGTGTTCAGACATTTTAGATATAATCTTCAACTGTTACTCGATGAAAGATTTGCAGTCTGCCCTAACATAACGAAAATGTTTTATGCAACCTGGTGGAATAACACAGATCAGGTTTGTTTATATTTTACCCTTTCATCATATTATATAGGAGCATAGATTTTTCTTATGAATGAGTAACAACAGAATTATTTGCAGATGCTTTGCTCCAGTTTTTAACATTAATAATAATTATACATGGAAAAATCATTTCTTAAAAATGAAGGGGGATATAGCAATGGCTAGAAGCACCGAAATGAGCACACCCTCACCGAACTGAGCACGTGCGGTACCGCTAATTGATGGGCTGGGATATGAGTATGCTGACATTCTTTGGTAGACAGCATGTGGTAGTCGATACGCACCATTCCGTTGTGCCTTATTTTGTCTCCAAAGTACGCAGAGCAAGAGGATCAGGTCTTGATAAGCCAGCCTGATTATGCATATTAGCGATCGCTTGATGACCGTGCACACCTCCGGAGAATCTGGAGCCGTTTAGTGAAATAATCAGCGCTTCAACTGGTTCCAGCAGGTAAGAAGAAGAAGAATTATTACTAGGAATGCGCACGCGCATATTTTGCCTCGCGCCTGCCAGCGACTGAGGCCGCTCGTGCGCGCGCTCTACCTGCGCGCGAAGCCAGACTTCCTACGAATCTGCGCGCACGGCGGAAGCTAGACTTCCTACGAATGACGGAAGTTACACTTCCTTTTGTGACTAATTGACATTCATAAGCATGACTAATTGACGACACGTACGTACGTACGAGGATACAACCCGGAGCAGTTGCGCTAATGCGCTCGGCAACACGAAATCACGTGTGAGAGAATTCTCGCGTGGACGACTGAAGGTGCGTATGAGGTCTTTGGGTGCATGTATACCTAGATATGGGCCCGTAGACTATTGCTAGTGTTTTGAAGGCCTAGGAAGTCATTCTCACCGAGGTTTTTAGACGTTTTGTACGCGGATCACGTGGGATTTGACCCGCGCCATCCCAATAGCGTCTACCGACGCCATGTTTGCAAATTCCTTTACTGATGGGCATTAAACCCACGCCATCCCAATAGCGTCTACCGACGCCATGTTTGGAAATTCCTCTACTTCCATTACTACTGATAGGAAATAAACTGAAACTTCATGTATGTTATTTTTTATGTAGGAAGAGGTATTTCAAGTGGTGCTGATGAATAATGGTGGTAGGGATATATACATGTTAATACTCTACCATTCGGCGTATTGTAATATCAGCAGTGAAATGCTTGGCATTTCATTGATGGCAGGTAACTTCTGCATTATATAGGTGCTGCTAAACTTTTTAATATCTTTTGTTATTATACAAGACGGGACTACTCATAGTGTAATGAAGACAGTTACAAGCAACACTGAAGCAGCCTTGTTCCACATCGCAAATGGAAATATCACCGAAGAAAATGGTTTATTAGAATTTAGTAGCTACCTTCCTTCTTAACAGTGTTCGTCTCTATGACAGCTATTGATTGTGGGCGTCCATGTCCTCCTACTAACGGGAAGGTATATTTCAGTTCAACTACTGGCGGATCAAAGGCAGTCCAAACATGCAATGGAGGATTGAAGAGTGTCACAATCGAGTGTACCTCTGAAGGATGGTCTGAGCCCCTAATAGGTATTACTAGTCATAATCAGTTTACCAAAGGCACAGGTCATAGTATGCCAAAGGGTAGCGCTGTAGCGTTTTAGCATTTGCCCTAGTTGGCGGATTGTCAGACATATCTGTTAACACAAACACACAAAAAGGTTCAGTCAAGACATAGCTAGCCTTTCTTTTGAGAGTAGAATCTGATATAGCCTGTGCCCTGTAGCTAACAAAGAAAGCTAACACTGCGGGTTTAGTTGATGTCCACATACATACGACTTCGAGATCGAACACCAAGTGCATACGGTAGTCTATCGTATCTATAGTGCTGCTCTGCGTGAAGATTGAACCCGGCATACCACTAGGCCACAGGACAACAATAAAAGGCATTAACACTTTAATGTATTGAAGATTGACCTGTCCAGGTATTAGCCCTCACTCTACAAAACAGCTAGTGTCTAGCAACAAGGCGTGCAAAAGAGCAGGTAAAAAACGTTTTCTCTAGCCCCAGCATTCCTTGGTGTGCTTCAAAAACTGTGTGGCTGTATATTAATTCTGAAGCCGTGTTGACTACAGGAACAAACATACATTCATTTTTCAATCACTAGCCACCATCGTCACCGCCAACAAACACCCATTAGCTAGTTCTTGACACAATTTCTATCCTCTTAGATATGGAGCGTGGTACTCAGATGCTCAACATTCTTGATGATCTTTTTGAAGGAAATGAGTCACTGGTCTTGAACTGGTGTGATTTCGATTATGATGTGGATAGTAACGATTCAGTAACATGCAAGTGCTGTGGGAATGTCAACTCAAATTCAGTGACTGACGTTGGGATTCTACATGATGGTAAATAATGATCATTCGCACACGTTCTTCTTGCGTGTCTTATGCGTGTTAACCTGTTTAGTTTATGACATTTGTGACTGGATTAATAGCAGACTGCAGAGATCTCAGAATTTATATCATTAAACAGCTATTAATGTATTACAGATTCCATGTGTAGTGCATCGGAACGGTTCATGGAAACTACAATGCCAAAGTGTTCTCGTAAGTCTATTTTATTCCAATGTAGTGTCTTAATGCTCAGGACAAGTATAGTAAACAAAAAAAGTATCATTTTTCATCGCGCTTTCAGCTTTCATGAGTCGATCATACAAATCAGAAATAAATATTTGTTTCTGTGTGTACATTGAGAACACAACTACTCCCATGCAGGCTGCATTCAACAGAATAAATTTAACCCACGACACTTTGCACTCTAGGCCAAGGATTATACCACTAGCTAAAAGAGCAGCTCAGCAGGCAGGAGATTAATTTAAAGTGGTGTGGAATTTGTTTGTATATAGTATGTGTCGCTATGTTTAAACACTGGGTGTTATAATGGCTGTTGCTGAGATAAGATGCGAGGAACTCACAAGTCCTGGAAATGGAACTGTTGTGACAAACGGGACTTTCCAGTGGGCTATAGCAAAATATAGCTGTATATAAACGTGGCTTCACGCTGGAAGGAGATGAAGAGCGTCGATGTCAATATAATGCCAATGGAGAGCTTATGTGGTCTGGAACAGCCCCTGAATGTATTGTTATTTACCCTCCGCACGCATGCGCAACAAGGGTACTTGGTCTGTCCGTCTGTCTGTCACTTTTCTGCCACCATGCGCAAGGAGACAACAAAGGGGCCATACCAATAGGCTCAGCGCTACACTGGCTTGATCTTAAATTTGGCGATTTTCGTATGAGAAAGTTATGCGTGAAAACAAGTGAAAAAATGAACAAAGGCCTACTTACCTCGACCGCGTCCGCTCGCTCTGTGTATTTTGAAGGCACAAGAAGTTGCAACGAAGGGCGTGCATCGACTCCCGCATGATGTCTACTACTGTCGATATATAACCCGTGTCAAGCTTCCCGCGAGCTAGCTATATAGCGTATATGTACAGCGCATGCGCAGTTCGCTGAGGGTTTGCGCCGAGGGTTGTTCTGTCCGTCTGTCTGTCTGACGCTTATTCTTGCACTAGGCGTTCCATGTGCCATATGCCAACGGCTTCAGAACTACGCCAACCTAAAATGGTGATTTTTCGGAGATATGCCGCGATACAAGCAAATCGCTCTGGGCTTATTCTAACTGATCCGCCCGCTCCGTGCCCATTGGAGGCATAAGAAGTCACAACTACGGGCGTGTATATATCGACTCCCGCTACTAGCCCGCGTCAGACTCTGCCAGCTGCAGGAGACCACGTAGAGTAAACTACTCTTGGCCCCGCGCATGCGCAGTGGGTCGAGGGTTTTTGCTGTTGTGACATGTGTCGCTGTTAACTAATCGAAGAGATGTACCAGAACCTCACAAGTCCTGAAAAAAGATGAAACTGTCTTGTGTATTTTACTGCCTAGAGATGACGTAGTTGCTTTATTAACCCTCGGCGCGCATGCTCAGCGAGGGTTATTGGTGAGCGGGAGCGAGCCAACCTAGTCGTTCGTTCGAGCGGAATTTTCTGTAAGCGTTGGTACGTCGTGTAAGTGCGCATGCGCGTCTTTGTACGCGCTTCTTTTTATCCGAAATTATTTCAACTCTCCTCCATTCGACGGAATGCGCTCGAACCACCGAGGCTGTATATATATACCTCTTCCCAATCTTTAAGCTGCAACTTGCATAATACGCTAGGGCACATACTGCTGCATGCCAGTTGCAAGGTGGACCACGACTGACGAGCTGAAAGCGTAAGGTAAGTACTCACCTGCTCACCGTTCTGGCAATATAAACTACGCATGTAACGGCGACAGGTATATCTGTCTTGCTTCACGAAAAGAAAGCTGTGCGCTGACGGCACGTTATGCAGCCCGAACATCGCGGTCAAATCCCAAGTTGGGTCGCTCCCGCTCGCCAACAATGTTCAACATTTCCACTAGTAGTATATCATTCCGTCCGTCCGTCCGTCTGTCCGTCTGTCCGTCTGTCTGTTACCACGTTTTCTCCCGCTACGCGCAACAAGACGGCCAAAAAGCGATACCAACGGGTTCAGTGCCACACTGGCTTTATTAAATAGCGATTTCGGTAAAAATGCTGTGTTGAAAGTTATGGCGTGAAAAGCAAGTCAAGGAGCTAATATGCAAATTAGCACAGGCTTACCTCAACCGCGTCCGCTCGCTCTGTGTATCTTGAAGGCACAAGAAGTCACAACGAAGGGCATGTATCAACTCCTGCATGCAATCTACTACTGTAGCTAGCCCGTGCCAGACTCTCCGCGAGCTACTAGCGGGATACAACGAGTATAAAAAAGCCCAGCCCATCAATTAGTGGTAGCGCGCATGCGCAGTTCGCCGAGGGTTTGCACTTTAGTGCTTTTCATTACTAGGATGAATGCAGGCATTTTTAATGAGCGATATAAGTCACACGCAGGTATGGCACTGCATGGGGCATTCTAAAGTAGATAAAACTGCAAAAAATGCGATTTAAAGGACTCATGGGTTGATCAGTGGTGTAATTACCTATACAGAAGTCAGAATTCGTCTTGTGGATCTGGAGAGTGGCCAAGAGACATTAAAATCAGGTCTTGTAGAGGTGTTGAGAGACTCAGAGTGGAGGTCAGTGTGTGACGATTACTGGACATATGAGGATGCCAATGTAGTCTGCCGACAACTTGGTTTCTTGGGATTTGGTGAGTATATTCCACTCTGCAATTAGTTCACACTGCTTAATATAATATATTCCCTGCTTTACCAGTTACTCTTTGAATGTGTAAAACATCTTTTTTTCCGGCAGGTGCTACACTAATTCGCATGGGCTTCTTCAATGCGAATGAGCCCAGACGATACTGGCTGGATGATGTTAAGTGCAATGGAGATGAGTCGTCACTGTTTGATTGTCCACACAGAGGTTGGGGGGTCCATAACTGTGGTCGAAGAGAAAGAGCAGGAGTAAATTGCCTCAGTAAGTGAACGCCTTAAGCTAGGTTTACAATATGGCACATTGCCCCGTCGCGCCGTGCCGTATGGCGTCCTCCCGAGAAGATAGAAATGGAGTCTATCCTCTGGCGCGGCAGGGCGCAACGGGCCAATGCATATTGTGAACCTAGTCCTATACTCTAGAATCATCTATTGCTTTGCTATACTATCTTTCTACTGTGTCTACTTTCAGATGAGAGTGACATTGACATACGTATAGTCAATGATGACATTTTTGATAATATATCTGGTGCTGTTGAACTGAGGATGGGTAATGAGTGGAGGTCACTGTGTTGTAACCACTGGACTAGCCAGGATGCCAGAGTAGCTTGCAGGCAACTTGGACACTCTGCTGATGGTATGGTCTGAAATGTGTCAGTATAATAATATATACAAGGGCTAAATTAATTAGAACGTGTTACTATATTTACGTTTTTGCACTGGTCCCTAGTTCAAAAATGAGCACTTGTCCTCTATTCAGAACCAATAGAAAGGAGTCAGGGCTGGGGTGACTTGCCTTGCAGAACCTTAGAGTGGTACACTGTATGAAAACTGATCTCCAATTTATCAGTACTATAATAATTATACGTGCACAAATAACACACATACTAAGTTGACATGGTCAACATTTATAGTTACACAACTGTTGTATTTTCTCTGTAACCCCAAATTTTTCCCCAGATTGATATTTTTTGCTGTTACCATAAATCACGTGCCCAGCTCTTGATCAAAATGAGAATGGACTACCTTATAACTCTTTAATCAAGAATCCAGTCATTTGGAGAATAATATTTCTTGCCTATAAATACTTTCACTTACGGAAGGTCCAAAAAGGTGCCTGTGTATTTCCTGCACTATAGCTGTGCTCGTATTCATGGTTGTCTTATCATCAAAACTCGTCATCTTCTAATCATTCTCTTCTTCTGTCTGTTACATCCCTATATGGGTCGGGCCTTTGGTACGGAGGTGTGCATGGTCACAAAGCATGTATATAATCCTCGCATTGCATGGGCAGGTGGCTATGGTGGTAGCTAGGCATGTGCCAACAAGGTGAGGCAGAAAGGCAAAGGCAAAGCAAACAAGTCAACTTCACCCAGGACAATTCAAGTAAAGAGAAAGAGCTGCCCCTGGCAGGATTCGAACCCACGACACTCTGCCGTCTAGGCGAGCGCTCTACCAACTGAGCTACCAGGGAAACTCGCCTCGTAGGGGTTCAAAATGTATGGGACATTCCAGTGATGTGCATGCTGCACTACTACCTCTTGTATAACTTCCACATTGTTAATTTGTGAGAATAATCAGTTATTGTATCTGTTGATCATCAGCATTATCAAGAGCTGTGCTTTGGAGGAATCTACTATTATATACCTTTGCCCCTCATTCAGTAGGTGGTTTAGATTACTACCGCTGAGGTTTGAAGTGAGAAAATTTCTTTCAGGCCATGTGACCTAACTATAACACTCTGCTTGACGTTGACTGTAAGTATGACACGAAGAAGCTACAGCAACAAGCACCCTAACCTCTTCATTCGGCTCTCACTCACGGATGGCACAGAGCATAAAGAAACAATATATAGTGGCACACAAGAGGTTTACTAAGAACATAATTATACGTACTAAGTGACCCTAAACAACTCTAGCCTAAGGCTATAAAAACAAGAATGTCAAACAAAGTGATGCGCGTATAGCCATTGCTATGAAACAATTTGGGCAGCCCTGTTAAAACTATAGGTCATGGTAATTGGATTAACATTAGTATGAAATGCAAGACCCCTTTCAAGCTCCCCCACACACACATTATCATTCCCTAGAGGCGACTCTGCGGAGGGTGCCATGCAAAAAGCGGGAACAAGCAAAGTATATTAATTACCACCACAGCTATTATTAGCTGTTGCATAGAGCTTGACCTGGCTATGTGACCTGTATAAATTGTTTTGAGCCAATGATCAGAACTTCACCTAGCTTCATTTTACCACATAATATTGGCCGATTCTGACTTCTAAGATGTGTTACAAGTAGACTATAGCTACATGGTGTCTCTGCATACAGACGATGCCACAATGGATACATAATAATAATGGTGACATCACAGCCTAACATACACACGTATGATACACATGCAGCCAGAATCACACAGTTGCCATATGGCTATACAATGTTAGTGTCATCGTTCACAAGATGTCCATTATAGGCCTTGGAAGAGGCACATTTTGAAGCATGCTCTAGATTTGACTTAGCACTTAGGCCAAAGCTACACAGACACAGTGAGTCACAAAGTGCCATTGGGATGTGCAGTCAATATTATCTCCCAAAAGAGTGTCACTGGGGGATAGTGGTGGGAGGTCTCACCTGCAGCGTTGCAACAAAGGACACAGGTGTTCATTATTCCATTATCAAAACAGTACATAGTAAGCATTGTTTTAGAAGGACGAGTCACGTTCACCACGTCTGTGTGTGTGTGCATAGGATCTTTGTGCATCCAGCAATGTCACTGTGGGACGAAATACACATTATCCTGCTAGAGTTTACCCTTGAGTATACACTCTTGTAACCAAGAACAGTCATTAAAGTATAAGCATCCATTATCCTTGGCATTCGAACACATGTGGTATATATTAGCACGGGTTGAGCATGTGCTCAATATGATGTAACAACACTATCAAAAGCTGACAGCAAATGTCCCCTAGTGGCTCTCCCACAGAACGGAGTGCAATGTACTTGTGAAAACTGTCACCTTACAATAGCATTCCTCAAACTACCTATGTAGCCTTGCGGTGGCTATTAGAGTGAGAGCAGGCTGGACTCCAACACAAAGATAAATTGCGCAATTGCCACGCACGAAACTCAGCACATGTAGTTGTCAGGTATAGACTTACCATACATTTCCCCATTGTGTGCCCTGCCTGAATGAAAAGGAATGGCAAACATGTAAGGTAAGTCGCGTTTTCCATTAAACATGAAATAGAAACAGTTTGCTATAATCGTCTGTGAATCTGGCAATCTCACAAAAAGACCATATCAACATTCACTCTTTTTCAAAGATGTGCTAGACACATGCATGATTGTGTTGGCCAGATTCAAACTATTGAATTTCATTTAGACGAGGAATGTGTGGTTGTTTTTATAGTGCGCATTTGTAGGATAGCATTCTTGTCAGGTATAAAATGAGACAAGCCTGGTGGACTAAGATATTCCCCTGCAGTGACCGTGAGTTCATGCAGCAGCCAATAGGTCTTGTAGGCTCTATTCCATTTGTTCAAATGTGGAAGTTTGTTATGTTGTGTATGCAGAGAAAGCCATCAGTAAGGAAAGAAATGCAGTTCTTCATGGTCTTTAGCCTCTTGATTACTCTCTGCTGCTGTCAGTGCAATGAAAGTTTCCCAGGAGGTAGGTATCAGTATTGGCTAAATACAAGAGCGCTTAGCTACAGCATGCAAGCTGCTCTAGGTCCTTAGCTAGAGCGCACACAAGCTGTACGACATCAATATTTCTAAAGTACAATACTCCCCTGCACCTATTTCAACACCATTTCAAAAACAATAGATTGATGAAGTACCGAGAATTCAATGCAATGCGGAAAGTTTGTTCTACAGCAGAGGCATTGCGTATGCAATAATTATCCATACGAATACTTGCATGAATTTTGTGGCGGATGTAAAAAAGAAGTGATAATTTAATCTGGCACTTTTTTTTTCAGAAACAGACTTTGCTACATCATCTAGGTGCTTCACAAGCACAGGATTTACGAATATCTATAATAATTAAACCCATAATAACCTGTCGGCGGGATAGCTATATATGTACCAAATGTGTGTTGGGAAGACTTGCATGTAATATATTACAAGTGGAAAAATTGTTTCTTCAAAATGGAGGGGGATATAGGGATGGATGGCTTGAAGCACCAAAAAATTTGGTTTCATGGGCAGGCATTGGTAATCAGGCTACAACCTGGGGGGACAAACAATGAAGACCCATTTGAGCGCTCCGCAGCGGCTCGCGTAACACCGCGCAGACTCTGCCAAGTTGCTCCTTGAGCCAAGCTAGCCAGTTGGAAATGTGCACACTTACAGAAGGCACTGGAGCCTGAGAGTTCCACTGCAGGTCTGTCAACTCGCCTGGTAATACGCGCGCACAGCGCATTGGACAACGCTCCTGCCTGGCGCATGCGCGCGGCTCACAGATGCTGAGTTAGCAGCAAATGGCGTTGTTCAGTGTCGACCATGGAAGAGCTCCAAGATCAACCATAGTGACTAGCGGAAAGAAAGAAAGGATCGCTTGATGTCTGTGCACACCTCAGCGCTTCAACTTGTTCCAGTAAGGAGAAGGCGGCTCTAAAGAAGAAAGAAGAAGATGTAACCGAAAATCGTGAAATCGCGAATTCTCGCGTGGATGTCTGAAGGTGCGTATGAGGTCTTTGGGAGCATGTATAGGCAGATATTGGCCCGTGGACTATTGCGAGTGTGTTTTGAAGGCCTAGGGAGTGATTCTCACCGAGTCTTTAGTCGTTTCGTACGCAGGTCACGTGAGATTTCACCCGCGACATCCCTATATTATTTATAGGGACTCTCTAATAGGTAAACCTGAATGCCGGATTTATCTACGTCATGCACGACGCTCGTGCTAAATAAGCAGCATTGCACTAGATAGAAACCCTTATCACGCGCTATAAAATCGGCACAAACAGTATAATTAATTATAGCTAATACAAACTAGTCCGCGGGTCTATATCCAGTCTCAGTGCACAATGCTTTTGAAAACACGCTACGATAACGCTAAGCACACTGGCTGTGGCTACTAATATTCATTATCATAATGGCAGAAATTCCCGGAAGGAGAATAAGTTTTTAAGTGTTGTTCACCACAAAAGCCGAGATGTTCTGGTATGCTTGTTAACCTGTATCCTGCTCTGCAATAATGATACCAGCACGACCCAAATCTAATTAATTACACAGGACTTATTCCTTACGGAGATGATTGTGTAGATGACTGCCTTGATGGTACCAAAGAGAGATCATGTAATGATTCACGAATAGAGTCCGATGTAACTGAAAAACAGCCATTGGATGTAAATTACACTTTCTACGGTCAAAATTACTCCAGTGTGTATGTAAGTCTTGCAGATTGTTATTGTATTTCAACATTATCGTTCAAAACAACTCAGATCTGTGAGAATGGACTGATATCTTTTGAAGATTGCGAAGAGTTTTGTAAGAACCAAACAGATTTAAAAGCATCTTCAGTTCCTGTGATTGCTGGAATCTGGCAAGATATATTTCTTTTTCGTTTTTATTCCAGTGATGCCACTTATAAAGTCCCTTATGCTTATTACAAGGAAAGAATGAATAATACAGGATGCTTCAATGAAAGCAAAAAAAAAGTTGAGGAACATCTATGTAATGGATTTGGAGAAAGACTGGATTTTAATCTAACACACGTGTTTAGTTCAACCTGGCATGGTATTGGGAATACCAGTGGCACTGTAAGTTAGAATGTGGCAGTATACATGAGAACTAAATTTGGGGCTAGTTTGGTTTCCAAATTTAGCCTCTATGCTGCCCCATTCTCTTTAAGACAGCCCCAGAACATTGTGTTAGAGGCCTTCGTAATCACTGGTACAGATCCAGATTGTCATAGCAACTGACGAGAACAAGCCAGATACGTATGCCTTATTAATATACGATGATTGGAATGTGACTGAGGAGCAGAGAATGCAAATTGGATTCAGTGCAGGTTTATCACAGCCCATTTCAAAATTAGATCTTGTTAGCTTTTATCATGTTACTCAGGTTGTGATGAGAAATATTTTCCATTGTCGTCTATTGCTGGTACCAGCAACATTGGTGTACCTGGAGTTTATGCATTTCGAATTGACCAGAGAGACATAATAGACCCAAGCAAAGGTAGTAAATAATTGCATATAATATTTATGAATAGGTTTATCTTATGAGAGGCAAAAACTAGTAACTTACCAAATTCCATACAGCCTATACTTTTTGACATCACGCATGTGCTAATAGTGCTTGGTTGGAGATGTCAGATACCGAGGATAATTTTTGTCCGTGCACATGGATTAATACGAAGACAAAGTACAAGTCGCAACAGTTGATTGAGAAATCTTTATCAGTAACATGGCAACGGACGGTTGCCCAGACCCAGAACCTCTTGATGAGGCCAAAGCTATATAAAATCAATGACTTTTGTCTCAAGCATAGTTGTGAGCACAGCACATGTTCCTTATCCTTCTAATTATCCTTGTTATCTCGGGCATAATTTTCTGCCAATACCAACTTTGGAACTCAGGCATTTGTTTTGATTTCTGAAACCTTACAAAACCTGTCTTTGCCTCCTTATAGCATGTCTAATATTTTAGCCGACAACAGAAAGGATCATGAATGAATATTAATAGAATTCATGCTATTTGCACGTCCTCTATTGCAAGCAATCTGTATGTTGCTTCTGGCAAGCAAAACGTAAGCGAACATGTAATCAGGGCAACGCCTAGCGCACACTGCAATCTATGGCAGTCACCCCTGTCTCCTACCTCTGTCTGTGGTTGTTTTAGGGTCTTGACTGATTGTCAACTGTCCATGTCGCCAACAGTAGGTATATCGTAGCAAACGGCATATGAGTTGGCTCCGTGCATTGGCATTAATTAAGTAACTATAGCAGACGGTTTCGTCGTCCTACCAAGAATTGCATTAGTCTCGCGGCGCAGAGCGTCTGGCCCCACAAGACTAGCATCAGCAGTATCGTGAACCCAGTTGGAAAAGAAATTCCTTAGTTGTCGCAACAGCAAGGAATGAAGTTCCTCTTCGGCGTTGCCTTCCTCGTTGCTGTTAGCAACAGTATATCACGCTCTAAACAAGGTAATCGAATGATTGACATAATCAAGGGAGCCTTTTAGCTATATTAATTGTACACAAAAACCACTGCATAAAAAGCGACCATTTGTTAAGACTATAGCTGAGCACAGACTGCTATTACACAAAGAACGAGTGGCAATGCATTTAGCGCGAGCACAACACAGGGGTAGTTCTAAACACTGTTCTATATATGAAGGGTGCTGGCGATAGATGCACTTGCCAAGAACGCAAGACGATAGATGTGTTTAGAACATTAATTGCTAATGATGGCTTTGGTGTTGCTATTATGATTTGCAGGAGTTGATTGTGGAGATCTCCCTGACCCACAGAATGGCAAAGTAAAATACACCTCTACTATTCTCAATTCCTTGGCAAACTATACCTGCACTGCTGACTGTGATTTTATGCTCACTCGGGAGTGTCTGCCAGATGGCAGTTGGTCGGGGAAAGAACCAGAGTGCCCAGGTGAGCAGCTAAGATACAACCTTTAACTTACACCCTTAAAAAGATAGAAATTCGAAGGTTTATCACAAATGTGGTCCTGATTTATTACATGTTGCATGCGCAGCGAGGGTTACAGTAGTTGGTTTGTCTGTCTGTGTGTGTGTCATCAACATTGTTACTGAGGTTAAAGCAAAGCAAAGGAAAACAACACAACCACACCCAGGACATGCTCATGCCATATGCTCAACACCTCTATATTATTAGCTGACGCCATTATGAACAATGAAATTCAAATCTGCCTGTGCAGATATCGTCTGCCGTGGTCTTGAAAAATGTCATCCAGAAAATGGTTGGTTGAGCCTTATAAGTGGGTCTCAAGGTCTGGTGGCAGAGTACGGCTGTGAACTTGGTTACATTCCCAACAACACAAGAGACACCAGACACTGCAAGTGTGGGAGCTGGTCTGGAGACGAAATTCACTGTGTAGGTAGGAGACTTTTTGGTTTGTTGTGTGCAAAAATATATTTGTGAGCAAAGCGAGCTAACCTAGTTGTCATAATGTGCGACTTTTCACACGTATGCTTGTACGTGAACCTTCACCACCACGTACAGTAGATAATTTGAATGTGCATAAACCAACAAAATGATTATGCACTCATGTTGCTCAACAACAATGGTCATTTATATGTTATAACCTTATTCTCAGAAATGTGTCCCAATGTTGGTCAAGATAAGACTTGTGGTGAACGTAAGTTTTCTGAATATTGCTGTTTATTGCTATTGTTGTGAAAAAATGAATAGATTCACTGATCCTAGCATGTGATAGCCGAAAAGACAGAATCACTAACTCATCTATACTACATCTCAACGGATCATATGAATTTTTCCAAGAGCCTTTGAGCAGTCTACAGGCAAGCAAGCAACAAATTCTTATCCCACCAGTTAAGTCTGTTTCCACAGGTGAACGAAAATGGCTCCGTGCATTTCAATGACGGCTCTCTCTCAATAGTGGTACTTAATGTCACCAAAAATGATGGAGCTCATTTCTTTTACGATTCGGAAATAAGTAACCCCCATTATTTCAACAATCAAAAGCGGTACGTAAAGTGTCTTCTAAACATGGCAATGGAAGATTTCAACCTTAAACACATGTTTATCATAACTTGGAAAAACTATAACTTCCATGATGAATCACAGGTATGTTTATCAATCAGAATGTCACTGTGTAACTGTAATTGCAATATCATTCTGACAACAGATCACATTTCAGCTTGCCGTAGTATCCGACTCATTTACAACACATGCCCTGTTTCTCTATGGGTGATATAAACTTAGAGGATACACCAGTTCTAACAGGACTCCGAGCAGGTAACCATTACTGTCTTTCTTCACATCAAATACCCAAAGATGACATACAGTGGAAATTCCAAATAGGGATCCTCCGAGATAGGGACGACCTCTATGAAGGACACTTGTTTTAACCTCACGCTAACACTTATTATTTGAGGGATGACCTCTCTACAAGGGACAAAATCGATGACCCTATGATGTCCGTTGTCACAAGGTTCCACTGTAGCTTATAGCCTAAAAAGCAAAGTTATACTACAAATACTTGAATGCAGCCGTAGACTGCATTCATGGGCAGAGCCAACAACACATGAGATGGTTTTTTCTGTGATTCATAAGTGCCACTATCTCAACCCAGAGCATGCTCCCTGCCACGGTCGAACCTTCTACCACTTCCCTGTCAACCCACTGCATGTGACTTCACAAGACATTGGGATCAGTGGAGCATACATTCTTAGAATTGACGAGACACCTGGAGGTAAATACTAGACACAACAATTTTTTGCCCACGAAGCCACTCTGTTGTAATTTATATCTCCTGTATAATTATAGGGATCCACTGCAACTGTAGCATTGATGAGATTGTGAACCCTGCTAATGGGGAGGCTGATATAATCAACACTCTGAGAGCAAGTTGGGGAGTATATGACTGCAGAAGTGGGTTCTCATTGACTGGAGACAACCCCCGACAGTGTATCAATGGTGTATGGATGGGAACAGCCCCTGAATGCAAAAGAAGTAAGCGGAATTTAGAGTGTGTGTTATAAGTTACAACGAACATATGTGAACCAATTATGGAGAGCTATCCGAGAAGTAGCTGCAGTTCATTTGCTTAAGTACCTACCGTATTAATATTGACAGTGCACACAATTGTCATAAGAAGGAATGGCTCAAAGGTTGGCAAGGCACACACGACAATATACTATGCCTCTTTCTTTGTCTAGTCAAATAAGTCTTGTGTATTTACTTCTAGGAAGCCTAGAGATGACGTAGTTGCTTCGTTACTAAGATGAATGCAGGGCATTTTTAATGAGCGATATAAGTCACACGCAGGCATGCAGGGGCATTCTAAAGTAGACAAACTGCAAAAAGAATGCAATTTAAAGCACTCATGGGTTGTATCAGTGGTGTAATTACCTATATAAATTCAGGATTCGTCTTGTGGATCCGGAGAGTGGGCCAGAGACATAAAATCAGTCTTGGTAGAGGTGTGAGAGACTCAGAGTGGAGTCAGTGTGTGATGATTACTGGACATATGAGGATGCCAATGTAGTCTGCCGACAACTTGGTTTCTTGGGATTTAGTGAGTATATTCCACTCTGCAATTAGTTCACACTGCATTACATACTTACATTATATTCCCTGCTTTACCATTACTCTTTGAATGTGTATAAAACCTCTTTTTTTGGCAGGTGCTAACAATTCGCATAGCTCTTCCGTAAGAATGAGCCCAAGACAATACTGGCTGGATGATGTTAAGTGGCAATGGAGATGAGTCGTCGCTGTTTGATTGTCCACACAGAGGTTTGGGGGGTCCATAACTGTGGTCGAAGAGAAAGAGCAGGAGTAAGTGCCTCAGTAAGTGAACGCCTTAAGCTAGGTTTACAATATGGCACATTGCCGCCCCGTCGCGCCGTGCCGTATGGCGTCCTCCCGAGAAGATAGAAATGGAGTCTATCCTCTGCGCGGCAGGCGCAACGGCCAATGGCATATTGTGAACCTAGTCCTATACTCTAGAAGCATCTATTGCTTTGCTATACTATCTTTCTACTGTGTCTACTTTCAGATGAGAGTGACATTGACATACGTATAGTCAATGATGAACATTTTTGATATGATCTGGTGCTGTTGAACTGAGGATGGGTAATGAGTGGAGGTCACTGTGTTGTAACCACTGGACTAGCCAGGATGCCAGAGTAGCTTGCAGGCAACTTGGACACTCTGCTGATGGTATGGTCTGAAATGTGTCAGTATAATAATATATACAAGGGCTAAATTAATTAGAACGTGTTACTATATTTACGTTTTTGCACTGGGCCCTAGTTCAAAAATGAGCACTTGTCCTCTATTCAGAACCAATCAGATTGCGCGATTTATTACTTAGCTCTATATTCATATACGAAGGTCATTATGTTCATCTTCGTTGCACAGGTGGCCATCGACTATGGAGGTTTAAAGCTGAGAATGATGCTCAGTACTGGATGGATTCATGTTTAACTGTGATGGAGACGAAGAGTATCTGTTTGCCTGTACTCACCTAGGGTTCACGGATGAGGATAATGAATGCAAGAAAGGAGTCAGGGCTTGGGGTGACTTGCCTTGCAGCCTTAGAGTGGTGCACTGTATGAAAACTGATCTCCAATTTATCAGTACTATAATAATTATACGTGCACAAACAACACACATACTAGTTGACATCGGTCAACATTTATAGTTACACAACTGTTGTCTTCTCTGTAACCCCAAATTTTTTTCCAGATTCATATTTTTTGCTGTTACCAATAATCACGTGCCCATGCATTAGCTCTTGATCAATATGAGAATGGGCTACCTTATAACTCTTTCATCAGAATTCCAGTCATTTTGGAGAATATATTTCTTGCCTATGATACTTTCACTTACGGAAGGTCTAAAAAGGTGCCTGTGTATTTCCTGCACTATATCTGCGCACTCGTGTCATGATTGTCTTGTCACCAAACTTGTCATCTTCTAATCATTCTCTTCTTCTGTCTGCTACATCCCTATATGAGTCGGCCTTTGGTATTATATATCATATCGGAGGTGTTACATGTCACAAAGCTGTATATATCCTCGCATTGCATGGGCAGGTGGTTAGCCTTTCTATGGTGGTATTTAGCCAACAAGTGAGGCAGAAGCAAGGCAGCACAACATCAACTTCACCCAGGACAATTCCAGTAAAGAGAAAGAGCTGCCCCTGGTATGATTTCGAACCCATGACACTCTGCCGTCTAGGCGATGCGCTCTACCAACTGAGCTACCAGGCACTCGCCTCGTAGGGGTTCAAAATGTATGGGACATCTAGTGATGTGCATGCTGCACTACTAACTTCTTGGATAACTTCCACATTGTTAATTTGTGAGAATAATCAGTTATTGTATCTGTTGATTATCAGCATTATCAAGAGCTGTGGTTTGGAGCAATCTCTACTATTATACCTTTGCCCTTTACCATTCAGAGGTGGGTTAGATTACTAACGCTGAGTTTTGAAGTGAGAAATATTTTTCAGCCATGTGACTAACTATAACACTCTGCTTGACGTTGACTGTAAGTATGACACGAAGAAGCTACAGCAACAAGCACCCTTACCTCTTCATTCGGCTCTCACTCACCCCACACACAGCTATACTATACAAGTGTAATTGAAGTGGAGAAAAGGGATGGCACGGAGCATAAAGAAACAATAGTGGCACACAAGAGGTTTACTAAGAACATATACATACTAAGTGACCCTAAACAACTCCAGCCTAAGGCTATAAACAAGAGTGTCAAACAAAGTTCTGTGTGCGTATAGCCATTGCTATGAAACAACTTAACCAGCCCTGTTAAAACAATGTCCGCTATGGGTCATGGTAATTGGATTAACATTAATAGGAAATGCAAAACCCCCTTCAAGCCCCCCACACACATTATCGTTCCCTAGAGGCGACTCGGCACATTCCAAGTTAATTAACGGAGGAGGGTGCCATGCAAAAGCGGGAACAGGCAAAGTATAAATATTAATCACCACCACAGCTATTAGCTGTTGCATAGAGGTTGACCTGGCTATGTGTATATATTGTTTTTAGCCAATGATCGGAACTTCACTTAGCTTCATTTTACCACGTAATATATGGCCGATTCTGACTTATAAGATGTGTTACAAGTAGACTATAGCTACATGGTGTCTCTGCATACAGACGATGCCACAATGGATACATACTCAGCTATACATAATATTAATGGTGACATCACAGCCTAACATACACACGTATGATACACATGCAGCCAGAATCACACAGTTGCCATATGGCTATACAATGTTAGTGTCATCGTTCACAAGATGTCCATTATAGGCCTTGGAAGAGGCACATTTTGAAGCATGCCATTGGGATGTGCAGTCAATATTATCTCCCAAAAGGAATCAAAAGTGTCACTGGGGGATAGTGGTGGGAGGTCTCACCTGCAGCATTGCAACAAAGGACACAGATGTTCATTATTCTATTATCAAAACAGTGCATAGCAGCATTGTTTTAAAGGACGATCACGTTACCACGTCGACAACAACGATAAACAAAGCTATTATCCCTACTGACTGGTCATGGGTAACAAACTGTTATTCTCCGAGCGTCGGTAGACGCTCTATATAGGATGAGACGAGTGTGAAAATCTCACGTGATCCAGCGTCAAAACGCCTCAAAACTCACAGCGACAATGACTCACCATGGCTTCGAAATCATCACTAGCACGTAGTCTAGAGCCAATACCTCGTCTAATACATATGCCCCAAGGACTCTCCGTCGTGCCTCTCAGTTCCCTCAGGACGAGATGCGCACTTCCGCGATTTTGCGATTCCGCGTCACATTGTGGTGACACCTATCTTCACACTTACTCATTATACTTCCTGGTCTTCTTTTCTTTGTTCATACGTCATAGCACCCGTCCAAACACGCGCCTCTTTTCTCTTTCTCCCCCCACTTTTTTTTCTACTTGTCTCCTCTCCCGGTGACTTCCCCTTTTTCCCCTTCTGCCTCACACTCCTTTACTTTGTGATTTCTTAGCAGTTCAAGCGTTGATTTTTTCATATCATGTTGGTCAGCGTCTCTATCCAAATTGCCGGATGGTGTGCACGCATATCAGCGATCAGCTGGTTCTCTTGCCGCAGTCACTACGGTAGATCGTTCGCTCTTCCACGTAGTCACGACAACGCCATTGCTGCTAACGCAGCCCCAGTGAGCCGACATGTTGCGCCGAGGAGGGCCGCTCTGTCCCACTGCGCTGGGTGCGCGCGCTATTCGTTCGTGAACGCAGGTCTAAGGTACGTAGACTAAGCACGCGATGCTGCGAGAACTCTTATCCGCCAGTGCCTTCTGTAGGCAGTATAAACTGGCTAGGTGACGTTTTGTGCTGTGATATGTAGACGATGCATAGCAACTGGCCGTGTACGCCGTGTTACTGACGCGGGCCTTGTCCCAGTTCGCCGTCATGGTTGTATGGCCCCGCAGGTTATAGCTATCCTAGTTCGCAGCTCAGTGATATTACTGACGCTCGTTGTCGACGAAACCCCCACATATGTGCCATTAACAAGCCTGTTCAACGAGAATTGCATCGTTGTTGGAACACTACGCATACACCCTCCTGCTTCAGTACATTAGCTTCTGCTGTCAATCGTGTATCGCTACAACATCAGAGTGACTGAAATGCAGAAGGCATGAAAAATAGTGGAAACAAGTGGAAAATCATTTCTTCAAAATGAAGGGGTGATAGGGATGGCTTGAAGCACCAAAAAGGAAGAAACAGGGGTCATTACACAGCAAAGATGCACCAAGCTACATGACACCATCCCTATATCTTTGTGTTATATAATAGTTCACAAGTAAAGTTTACTATGAGACAAAGATATAGGGATGGTGTCATGTAGCTTGGTGCATCTTTGCTGTGTAATGACCCCTTGTTTCTTCCTTTTTGGTGCTTCAAGCCATCTCTATATCACCCCTTCATTTTGAAGAAATGATTTTTCCACTTGTATAATTATGGTGACCAGGGAAGTACCTATTTGGCTTACTTTTGACTTGAAGGTTTAAAAGTGGGATAGAGCGATGGCTCTAAACATCAAAAGAAGGAGAGAACGAGGGGTCATTCATTACACTGCCAGCTAACTCTTAGGGTGGAGATATTGGTCCATAGACTTTACAAGTGGAATAGAGCGATGGCTCAAAACATCAAAAGAAGGAGAGAACGAGGGGTCATTCATTACACTGCCAGCTAACTCTTAGGGTGGAGATATTGGTCCATAGACTTTACAAGTGGAATAGAGCGATGGCTCAAAACATAAAAAACTCACACCACAAATGACTGTACTATGTATATGTGCCAACAGTAGCTATTTGGCCTGATTATTCTGTGACAAGACATTACGAAACATTAGCAGAGCGAGGGATTTGTGGGGCTACCCCTTTAGTGCCAGTCTATAGTGATTAAACAGACAATGTCACAAGCAGGTGTTAGGCGGGTTGCTGATCAGGATAACTAGAGCTATGAATATTATGGAGCCTTTAGGAGATATTATACACACATATTTGAATGCTTGATGGTTTGCTTAGTGCATACTAACTGCAATTTTGCTACACATCTGAATGTCAGCAATGCTAATTATGCAGAGGCTACCACTATAAGTATACCACACTTACAAAATATATTTAGTCTCTCACGAGCAGTCAAAGATGTGGTTCTTTCTGGTCTTTGTCATTCTGACTGTTGTCAGCAGCCAAGGCGACGATTGTGATGTATTTTTGAGAAATAAGTGGCTTTCAAAGGGTAGGTCACAATAGTAATTAGTGCTCTTAATTTCAAAAAGATGTGTAAGTTTCGACAATAATATTTATAATAGAGGAATATTTATATACATGGCAAAGTTACAATCTACATGAGAGCCATGCTAATATCATCTTTACCTGTATCGATGGTGTTGTAAACAGGGATGATATAATTCTAGACGCTCTTGATATTATAGCTGATGCTAAGCACCGATGTATTACAACCACAGGAACATTTGGCAAGTTTTCATCTATTCTCTTTTTTAGCAATAAGAAAAGTTGCGAATTTTCAAAATTTAAGGTTAGAGTGTGGTTCCCGAGTGGTTATAAAGCTGTTTAGTATTATGCATGATGTAGCCTAACAACTAGAAAGCTCAATGGTGTTACATTTATCTTAAAAAAGTAATGGCGTTTCTGTGACTTCATTATTTCCCCTATGGCTGCCCAAATATATAGGACTTCCTTTCGGTGATGAGGCTGGTGATACGTGTCTTGAAAACTGTGCGAGAGGATAACAATGATGGATGTAGTTGAAGAAAACCGGCTGAATACAACCTATTCTTTCTTTGGTCATGAACCCTTTGGGAGTCTCGTTTGTAAATTTCAAAATATTTTTCATTTCGACATCTAAGCTGCTACCACATAGGTGTGTGAAAATGGACTAGTATCATTTGAGGACAGCAACAACTCCTGTGATTATCCAACGGATTTAAAAAATTCTACAGCTTGTTTAATTGTCGGGTTTTTTGGAGAAGATGTTCAACTTAACCCCAATTGCACAGAATCACCTTATGCGTATTACGATGAGAGAAGTACATACGATGAAAATGGTTGTTTCAATATGAGTAACGAGACTGTTATGGCCTATCTTCACATCGAACCAACACACATTTTTGTTTCTACCTGGCACCGCATTCAAAATGGGATAGGCACTGTAAGTGTACTTTTACATTCTCTGTTGGTGCAATAAGTCTTTCCCAAGTGCCTCCATAGAATAGTAATGTCATGGTATAACGAAATTGGCTAATAATTGATGAGGCCGCGCTACAGCATGCAGTCTAGCTCCATCACAGGCAATGATTAGCGATTGGGACAGCACTGAACGCGGATATTTTATCACAAAAAGCAAAAACTCTTTTGGTGCAGGTCCAAATTGTCATAGCAACTCAGGAACGCAAGGAATGCAAGAATGAAACCTATGCTCTACTCATTTATAATAATACAAATCTGAGTGAGGAAGACAAGGAGCAAATAGGATTCACTGCAGGTTTTTACACCACTATTGTATTATTATTGTGGAGCTCAAAGCAACTTACACAATCTATTTTACTTTACCCAGATGGCGGGAGATATTATTCATTGTCCAACATTACAGGAGACAGCAACATTGGCGTTCCTGGAGTTTATGCCTTTCGGATCGATAAGCCATATTATATAGATGAGCCAGGTAAGGGTAGCTAAGGACTTAAGCGAATGTGTATGGAAAGAAAATCTCCTTTTTATTAATGTTGCACAGCTAGAAAGATTTTATTGGTGAGAAATGATTTTCTGCAGGGGCTGTATGGTTAAACCATTATATATTGGATCGTGTTGGTTGTTGGCAGCAAATACTCATCCTTTAATACCAAGAAGTGATACCACATTTTAAAGCTGTGTGTCTTGATGAACGTAGCTATTTGCAAGAACGAATAATTTTTTGGCTGTGACTAATGCCCGCCACGGGAACTCCTTTGTTAGTACGTAGTGCATAGCCTCGCGCGGAGAACCAAAGCTAGCTAGTTCAGTAAACTTATCAAGAAACTGTGACTAAAGGTACTGTTTGAACTCTGAAGAGTCATCTTACGCAAGTGGAAGCGCTGGCTAGCCGGAAATTCCGGGACATTATGCTATTTTGCCTCGCCCGGGACACGGCCGGGAGAAACCCCATATTTCCGGGACTGTCCCTGCGATTCCGGGACGGTTGGCAACTATTAATCAGCTAACTACACAAGCACTAAACCGAAAACCCTTGGCTAACTGCGCGTGTGTATGGGAACGTCAAATGCTATCGGTCGTCACGGTAAGAATCCGGACCAGAGGAGGTTGCGCACGCGTCATCGCTTGCGTCACGTGCGCCTTAGAGTTGTTTCCCCCACGCTACTCACTTTTTACACAGGCCGCGTTTACAAGGCTACGAGTGTTCTCACTCCGTGGTATACGCTTGGACATGCAAGGTCGCCTGAACACCAGCCAGAGCAACTTCCTTTCGCAGCTACTTGATTGCATTATAACCGCACGCGCCGACTGTTGCACTTGAGCTGTCCTACGCATGCGCTTAGTATTATACTCACGCGGTGTCCGGCTACCGGACCTGAAAACACGATCAGACGACAGATTACCAACAATTACGATATGACGGTGATCTGAACGCGGTTCTATTTCAGCACGACTGCTACCGGTTTAGAAAAGCACTAAAGTGCAAACCCTCGGCGAACTGCGCATGCGCGGTACCGCACTCGTGGAGTCGAGTAGCTCGCGAAGAGTCTGACACGGGCTAGCTACAGTAGTAGATAGCATGCTGGAGTCGATAAACGCCTTTCGTTGTGACTTCTTTCTTTCTTGTGCCTCCAAGGTTCACAGAGCAAGCGGACCCGGTCGAGGTAAGCCTGCATATTGGCTTGTTCACTTGGTTTTCATGTCATAACTTCTGAACGCGGCACTTTTACAAAAATCGCCATTATAAAATGAAGCGGGTGTAGCGCTGAACCCGTTGGTATCGCTATTTTACCTGTTTGTCGCGCGTGGTGGCGGAAAACGTGGACGGACGGACAGACAGACAGACGGACAGACCACCCTCTCTGCGCATGCGCGCCGCCGAAGGTTAATAAGGACGGCGAGCGATTACTAGTTGCATTTTTGGCGAGCGGGAGCGACCCATCTGCAATTGGCTAGCATGTTTGTGCATGTTGATGTATAATGGTTTTCATGTGGTATTTTGCAGGACTATCAGAAGGCTGAACATATTATAGCGTTGTTGATCTGTCGAATCTGCCTCCTGTTGAAGCAAGCGATATTGTGGCGTACGTTGCGACAGGCGCGTCTCTCTCTCCTCGGCCATCTCAGTAGCAAGACGCTGCCGCCGGCGTGCACGTTGCCCAGCCAGTCGGCGGTCCTGGGCGTGGGCGGCTTCTGAAGCGCGACCCTGTCTATCTCTCTCCCTACGCCTAGCTAATCGGCGGTCCCGGGCGTCGACGGTTTCTCAAGCACGACGCTGGCTGTCTCTGTCGCTACGGACTGAAGGATCCATGGCAGTTGCAACTACACTAGTAGTAACCAGCTACACACGGTTTTGTAACACACGTGGTAATCTTTGAACGGTTATTTAGAGTCACGTAGAACATTACGGTATGTGTCGCATCGCCGCGTAGCAAACTTTATTGTATTTTGCGTGGGCGAATCAAAGGCGCCGCCAGTACTATATTCATCATACAAAACGGTTTTTGAATGAACTGTACTATATCGCGCGGAACTGTACTATATCACACGAACTGTACTATATCCGCGGACTAGCGTACGCTTTTCGGGAATGACGCCTCGGCGGCCTTTCGTAGGCGGAGGTCGACTCAGACGGTGACACAAACAGCTGCTGGAAGGGCGCTCCGCGAGCTTCTTGTCCTTCTGAACTTGCAAAAAAAAGATTTTCCCTGGCCGCCGCCTTTTGAACTATATCCGCGGAGTAGCGTACGCTTTGCGAGAATGACGCCCTCGGCGGCCTTTCGTAGACGGAGTTCGACTCAGACGGTGACACAAACCGCTGCTGGAAGGGCGCTCCGCGAGCTTCTCGTCCTTTCTTCCGTTCTGAACGCCGGTGTTCCTGGTCGCCGCCTTTTGAATCGCCCACGCATACAATAAAGTACGGAAGCACGTGCTGTGCGCGTGATAATGGTACTCGGAACGTGGCCTCGATGGATCTGACTATCTCGCCCACGCCCCTCGTACCATTTTTTACGCGCACAGCACTGACTTCCGTACATTAACTATTACATAGATGTAAACTTGGCTTCAAACGGGAGGGAGATGCTCTGCTGTGCGTCGATGTCAGTATGATGCAAATGGCAGCTTATGTGGTCTGAAACAGCCCCTAGGTCTTGTGTTAGTAACAAACACATCTTTTTCTTGTGACATGTATCGCTATGTTTCAAAACCATATGTTTTATGGTCCCAGATGTGTGCAAGAACCTTCCAAGTCCTGCAAATGGAAATGTCATGACAAATGCGACTTTGCGGTGGGCTGTAGCAAACTATAGCTGTGATCTCTGCTACATGCTGGAGGAAGATGAAGAGCGTCAATGTCAATATAATGTGAATCAAAAGCTAATGTGGACTGGAAGAGCACCTAGATGTTGTATGTATGTTGTCATTGGCGAGCGGGAGCGAGCTAATCTAGTGGTACGAACGGCGCGGATTTTACGACCGTACGTTGTCCAACTGCGCATGCTCCAAGATTACGCTCTTCTTTTTATCCGAAAGGATTTAAAAATTTCACATGCTGCCTATGATGTCGTGCGTATTATACAAGTCCGGGGAAGATGCCCTTCGTCGTCGAAGAGAGAGGTAAAGAGAACATCGTGCCCGTGAGACTCCTGAGCAGAGAGGCTCGTTTGTATCAGCGTCGCTTTCGTGATAGGGAACGCGCAAATTTTTACACGCTGCCCTAGCTGTCATATCGATGCGAAATATAGCCAGCCAAAGAACTCTCGTCTATTTGCTGCCATTCGCTGCGCTCTTCTATACCTGACCGAGGCTGTCTATACCTCCTTCCAATCTTCGTGATTCTAAGGTTCAAGTTGTAGGATGGCTCGTGCAGATAGAGTCATTGTGTGCTCGCTCCCGCTCGCCAAAAATGCCATGCATTCGCCTACTAGTATAATAGACACTTACAAACTTTTAGTAGAGGTTGCAGCCAGCCATGATCATAGTTCGTCATTAGCATGAGTTATGTAAGCGTGTAAGCGCTGGCACAGACAGCTTATATCATACTAGGAATGCGCACGCGCATATTTTGCCTCGCGCCTGCCAGCCAATACGTAAACACTCCGACTGAGGCCGCTCGTGCGCGCGCTCTACTGACTGCGCGCGAAGCCAGACTTACTACGAACCTGCGCGCACGGCGGAAGATATAAATGACGGAAGTGACATTCCTAAGCGTGACTAATTGACATTCTTAAGCGAGACGACACGTACGTACGTACGCATATCCAACCCGGAGTAGTTGCCTCACGCTAACGCGCTCGGTAATGCGATGTAATCAAGCGTAAATATTTTTACAGTTGCAGATCCTGATGCTTGTGGAGATGAGTGCAAAAGTGAGTTTACACAAGCCTCGGAACAAAACCAATATTTGTGTGTATACAGAAGTGGATTCTAATCCTGTGCATGTACTGCAATGCTTTACAAAACAGCCTGTAATTATACAGAAGTACAAAGAGCTGCAATTAGCTACAATAAATCTGAAAACCTCCCGAAGACATTGCCCCAAAAGTGTCCGTTTTTCGACAGTATAGTTACACCTGTAAGGGACGATCACAGGGCCAACGAGTTGGTGCAAAAAATTACCTGTGGAATATATCTCTCTCTGACTATATTCAGGAATCCATTTTTTTAATGGGAGTGAAAATGACACTCAAGGCCTAATCGAGGTTTGCCATCAAGGAGAATGGAGATCAGTGTGCGATGACTATTGGACTGATCATGATGCAAAAGTTGCTTGTGAACAACTTGGATTTTCCAAATCTAATTTTAGTGAGTGCCGTAAACTATTAATAAACACATGCTGCATTTTTCATCATTCAACCAGGTGCCAAAGCAACTAAACGAGGAGAATTTGAAAGGGAATTCTATAAGAACACTGATAAGTCTGAACTTTACTGGTTCGATGATGTCCAGTGCGCAGGAAATGAAACATCTTTGTTTAAGTGTAAACATAAGGAAATGGGAACCCATAACTGCGGCCGAAAAGAAAGAGCAGGAGTGAAATGCATAGGTTGTTAATATTGTAGGGTGTGAAGTTTTATTACTTTTGTGTTACAGAGACCGAAATTCGTTTTGTTGAAGGAAGCGATGAAATATTGAAGTGCGGATGGAAGTGAGTGGATGGTCTGTGTGTATCAATCACTGGACACTGAATGATGTGGAAGTGCTTGCAGACAACTTGAATGAAATGATGGTAAGTGTACAGAATAATTATTGCTTGTGCCCAATGCTGACCATGACTGCAAACAGGCTCCCATACACTGTCATTAATAAAGAAGAAAAGGAGAAAAGTATGGTTGGACGTTGTGAATTGTCGTGGGGACGAAGAGTCTTTGTTTGCCTGCCACCATTTGGGGCTGGGAGAACACAAGTGTGACAATGGAGAGGCGACTGGAGTCAAATGTTAAGGTATGTCGTTTTGTTATTCTGTGATATTTTTGTGCCTCGTGCTAATTTTGTATTGCACTCTTCTTATGCTCCCCTATTAGTTTAATAAGCTGAAAGACGCTACGATAACATTAGCTAGCTACCCTGATATAGTTAGTTGGTAGCTAGTACATGTTCTCTTTCACTACTCGATGTTTAAACTGATTATTCCTAAGTGTGTTCTACATTATGATTTTTGTCACTAATAATGTGTACACTCTCTAATGTGTGCTATAAAAATGGTCGGCACTGACTGCACCTATGTTATGTCTGTCAGTATTACAGTGTCTTTCTTGATTCTTTTTTTGTTTTGTTTTGGGGTAATCGTGCGGCACTATACTATGCGCATGCAAAAGGCCATGAGAGCAATTCGAGTTCACAAATGACACATCTTTAGTCGGTATTATTGATAGGTCATAGCTGAGAACTGC